CCCTGTGGGGGCTGGGGCGGAGGGAAGGCCACCTGCTGCCCCCGCAGCCAGGTAAGAATCCAGGAGGTCGACGCTAAGACCCACCACCAGGCCCCAGGAAGTGCCACCAGCGGCAGCCACGGAGCCCAGGCCACAGCGACGCGTGTGGAGGCCACAGAGGGTCCGCCACCCTTTCGGGGGCAGGGATGCGTAAACCGCTCCCCAGGCCCCAGCCCACCTGCCCGTGTCCCCCACTCACCCAGGCGCACACTCCCCCCCCAGGCGCACACTCCCCGCCAGGTGCACACTCCCCCCCCAGGCGCACACTCCCCGCCAGGCGCACACTCCCCCCCCAGGCGCACACTCCCCCCCCCAGGCTCACACTCCCCGCCGGTGCACACTCCCCCCCCAGGCGCACACTCCCCACCAGGTGCACACTCCCCCCCCCAGGCGCACACTCCCCCCCCCCAGGCGCACACTCCCCGCCAGGCGCACACTCCCCCCCCAGGCGCACACTCCCCCCCCAGGCGCACACTCCCCGCCAGGTGCACACTCCCCCCCCAGGCGCACACTCCCCACCAGGTGCACACTCCCCCCCCCAGGCGCACACTCCCGCCCCAGGCGCACACTCCCCCCCAGGCGCACCCCCCCCCCCCAGGCGCACACTCTCACCCAGGTGCACAGTCCCCCCCAGGAGCACACTCCCCCCCCAGGAGCACACTCCCCCCCCAGGTGTACAGCCCCCCCAGGCGCACACTCCCCCCCCTCAGATGCACAGTCCCCCCCCTAGGCGCACACTCCCCCCCCAGGCGCACAGTCCCCCCCCAGGCGCACACTCCCCCCCCAGGCGCACACTCCCCCCCCAGGTGCACACTCCCCCCCAAGGCTCACACTCCCCCCCCAGGCGCACACCCCCCCCCCCAGGCGCACACTCCCCCCCCAGGCGCACACTCCCCCCCAGGTGCACACTCCCCCCCAGGCGCACAGTCCCCCCCCCAGGCGCACAGTCCCCCCCCCAGGCGCACAGTCCCCCCCCAGGCGCACACTCCCCCCCAGGCGCACACTCCCCCCCCAGGCGCACACTCCCCCCCCAGGCGCACACTCCCCCCCCAGGTGCACACTCCCCCCCAGGCGCACACTCCCCCCCAGGCGCACACTCCCCCCCCAGGCGCACACTCCCCCCCCAGGCGCACACTCCCCCCCCAGGTGCACACTCCCCCCCCAGGCGCACACTCCCCCCCAGGCGCACACTCCCCCCCAAGGCGCACACTCCCCCCCCCAGGCGCACACTCCCCCCCCCAGGCGCACACTCCCCCCCCAGGCGCACACTCCCCCCCAGGCGCACACTCCCCCCCAGGCGCACACTCCCCCCCAGGCGCACAGTCCCCCCCCCAGGCGCACACTCCCCCCCAGGTGCACACTCCCCCCCAAGGCGCACACTCCCCCCCCCCAGGCGCACACTCCCCGCCAGGCGCACACTCCCCCGCCCAGGCGCACACTCCCCCCCCAGGCGCACACTCCCCCCCAGGTGCACACTCCCCCCCCAGGTGCACACCCCCCCCCCAGGCGCACACTCCCCCCCCAGGTGCACACTCCCCCCCAGGCGCACACTCCCCCCCCAGGCGCACACTCCCCACCAGGTGCACACTCCCCCCCAGGTGCACACTCCCCCCCAGGTGCACACTCCCCCCCAAGGCGCACACTCCCCCCCAGGCGCACACTCCCCCCCAGGCGCACACTCCCCCCCCAGGTGCACACTCCCCCCGCAGGCGCACACTCCCCCCCCCAGGCGCACACTCCCCCCCCAGGTGCACACTCCCCCCCCAGGCGCACACTCCCCCCCCAGGCGCACACTCCCCCCCCAGGCGCACAGTCCCCCCCAGGCGCACACTCCCCCCCAGGCGCACACTCCCCCCCCAGGCGCACACTCCCCCCGCAGGCGCACACTCCCCCCCCCAGGCGCACAGTCCCCCCCCAGGTGCACACTCCCCCCCCCAGGCGCACAGTCCCCCCCCAGGTGCACACTCCCCCCCCAGGTGCACACTCCCCCCCCAGGCGCACAGTCCCCCCCCAGGCGCACACTCCCCCCCCAGGCGCACACTCCCCCCCAGGTGGACAGCCACCCCAGCATCCAGGCAGTCCTCGACTGCCCCACAGACCACAGAGCCTCTCCCCAAGGACTCAATCCCTCAGCTTGGGTCACACCGGGTGCGTCCACCTGGGCCACGTGGAGGGAGTGCCCACCCCCCTCCTTACAGCCGCTGCTGTGATTCCTTAGTCGAGGCTGTGGGGGTGGGCACAGCCTCATCACCTGGGACCCTGCCTCCGTGCTGACCTCGGCTGCTGTCTGTCCACACGACATGACCTGTCCACCTGCACAGACTCACCCTGGGGACCGGTGGGCAAGATGTGGTTCCCGCAGGGGAGCCACAGGGAAGAACCCGCTCCCACCCCCGCGCGCCCACAGGCAGGGCACCAGGCGCGGGGCTGGCGTCCTGTCCAGACCCTGGCGCCCTGTGGACCAGGCCCGCCCCCACCCCGGTGGAGGGGCCGTCACTTCTCCTGGAAGCCCCGTTGGGACCAGCCCCCCAGCAAAGACCTGAACACCAGGATGAGGGCAGCCGGCCTCCGCACCTTTCTGTGGGCAGGAAACCACCGGGCCCGCGCCCCAGGATCGATTTGCGCTCTGCCTGGAATGCCGCCGAGACGCGGAGCCGTCCAGGTGCCTGGCGCGGCTGCCCAGGAGCAGGCCCAGCGGGAGGAAACGCCCTCGCAGAGACCCAGCAGCCACAGCTGCGGGCCCGTGCCCCCCGAACCCCGGGAGCCGTCTGTGCCCGCCAGGCGTCCTCACGCGGCACCCACGGCCTGGCTGGCTCTGCAGGCTGGATGGCCGGCGGGCGCGGCAGGCGGGGGCGGCGCGGCCTGGACGCGTCCAGGGAGGTAGGATCCCCCGAGACCGCGCCCGTGTGAGAAACGCTAGAACCTCTCCCAGCGACACCCCGCGGACCCTGTCGGAGCCGCAAGCCCTGAGCGCCGCAGGAGACGCCCCCGGACCTCCCTCGACCTTCAAAGACGGCCCACCCTCCATTCACAAAGCGCAACTGGAGCCTGCGCGACCCGCGGGTGCGGCGGAGAATGAGCCCTCGGGCTCCCCCGCGGTGGGCGCGGGCAGCAGTGTCCCCGATGCGCGGTACCGGCCACGCTCGGGCCTCCTCCGCCCGCCGTGGAAGGAGACCAGGGACACAAGGCGGGCCACGCCACATGTCCCTTTGACGGGGTCACGGGGCACTCGGACAGGCCGAATGTGGTTCTGGGTGGGGTGAGGGAAGCCCTCCCCAGTGTGGGGGCCTCATCCAATCCGTCGGGGCCTGAGCGGAATCAGAGTCCGGTGAGAACAAGGTCTGTCTCCGGCGGCAACGTCCGTCTCCTGCCTCTGGCGCAGGCGCGGCTGGAATTACGTCCTCACCCCCCGGGTCGCAGCCTGCCTGGTTACAGGAGCCGACTCCTCAGAGGCAGCCGGGCTGGCCCCACCGTGACCAGTGACCGCGCGCACGGCCCTGGCGTGCGCCGCAGGACCCTCCGCCCTTCCCTGTCCAGTGTCGCGCGGGGTGACAGTGAGTGATGTAGGAGAAGTGATCCAAGCGCCGGACGGCGGAGAGAACAGACGGTTGTTATGGCAACAAAAAATGACCGTGCGCCTCATTAAAGCAGCGAGTGACATCATGAGCACAGACGGACGGCAGCTTTGTCCTCACATAGTGCACGTGCGTCCGCGCTGCCCCGGGCCGGGGACGTGGGGCGCGTCTGCACACAGGGCGGGGGCCCCTGCGGCCCGGCCGCGTGCCCGGCCCGAGCCCGGGTTTGGGGGGCGCTGCTGCTCACCAGCCCTGGAGACCCCCCCCACACACACACGTGCGGCAGGGGCGCAGCTCAGCGCCGGCCCCCAGCTCGGTGTGCGTTGCCGATTCTGCTCCTCCGTGAGGACAGCCGCTCTGCTGTCCCCTGAAAAGAAAGTCGGGCCGCCCCTCAGCGGAGAGCCAGGAGCCTGGGCCCCGTCCTGCTGCTTCCCCTGGTGCCGGGCGTGTCCCTGGGTTCCCGCACCGCTCCCGCCGGCCAGGTGGCGTGACGCCCTGTGCGTGGGATGAGCTCAAGGCCGAGGAAGAGCCTGGACTCGCCCACGTGCGCGGGGAGCCTGTCCAAAACCCTAAATATAATTCTGGGCTCCTCCCCCCAAAGTTTTCATCAGTGATCACTGAGTTTGCTCGTAAGCAGACCCTGAACTCTGCATCTGGTAAATCATGATAATGGGCCAGTGCTCGCTTCATTCAGAGGATCTGTGTTCCTTAAGCACGCGTGGCCCTTCCAATTATAGCCGTGTTTTATTCGTCACTATGAAGCGTCAGGTTCCTACTCCAGAGGTAACCTCGCTCCTAGAACTGCACGCAGGTGGACCGGGGACTTCGTGGTTAGCTAGCCCAGTGAGCGCCGGCGACAGGACGCCCCTGGCGCCGTTCCCGCAGTAACAGGCAACCGTGGCGCGCGCGGGGCGACTTGCCCGTTGATCCAGAAGGTGCCAGTCCCACTGGCAGTGCCGAAACCAAACTGCCAGCACCTGGAGGACCGCCGCTGCGAGCCACGCCGCCTCCACTGAGGGGGCATCTGCCCCCCAGAGCTTGTAGGGCCGCGCCCGGGCCACGCCCACCCCGGGAACGTGCGCTTACGGCCCCACGTGGACACTCCCAGGGGCGCCTGCGCACAGGCGCTCTGCCGAAGCGCGCCGCCGCCCTGGGTCGAGGCCTCTTTGTAGCCCAGGCACCCGCCTTGCGCTCGGAGGCCCCTGGGAAGTGCGGTGCCTGCTGGAGCCTGGACCCCTGGCGCCCCGGTCCCTGTCGGGCGGCCTGCTGAGGATGCGGGGGAAGGGCTGCTGGACGGCCCGGGCCGGCTGGGCGACGGAGGTCAGCGCGCAGGCAGGCAGCGGCTGACGGGCCTCCCCTCCCCAGGTGGGCATCGCGCTGCACTACTGCACGCTCTGCGCCATGCTGTGGATCGCCGTGACCGCCAGGAACATCTACCAGCAGGTGACCAAGAAGGCCGTGCCGTGCCTGGGCGCGGCCCCGCCGCCGCACTCCCAGAAGCCCCTGCTCAGGTACCCGAGCGCGAGCGTGTCCCCTCCGCCCCCGAGGCTCCGGGAGCCCGGCCCTGCACCTGCTGTGGGGTCTCGGCCAGGTGGTTCCCAGGAAAACTCGGGGCCGAGGACGAGGTAGCTGGGGGTGGGGGTGGGGGGACCTAGGGGTGTTGGGGTAGGCAGTGAGCTGGGGGCTAGGGTCTGGCCAGCGGGTCTGGGGGCCAGTGTGGAAGGCTGCAGAGCTCCACACGTGGGTGGGCCGTCGCGCTGGGGGCTCCAGGGAGCCGGGAGAGTGGGGGTGGGTAGGAAGTGTTTTCCGGGTCTCTGGGGTGAGTCATCCACTTGTTAGCTGGGGAAACCGAGGCAACGCAGTGGCTAGAGTTGCGGTTTCAAGGAGACAGGACTCTGGGCCTTCCGCCCGGGGCTCACGGTAGCTTTGAAAAGGGGCCCCAGCTCCCGCCAGGCACCCTGTTACTTTCAAAAACCGCAGGAGGACCTTCTCCGCGGGAGGCACACGCAGAGCCCGCCCCTCCCTCCGGGAGGGAAACCGCACAGGGCTCCGGCCCAGGGGAGCAGCTGGGGCGCCGTCAGCGGCTGGGACTTGCCCCCGGGGGTCTCCCTGCTGGCTCCACCACCACAGCCGCTGACCGAGTCCTGGAGGGCTGCAGGGGTCCCCCGACCCAGCTGTGGGCTCCGCACCCAGAACAGCCTTAGCAGGCAGCTGCGTGGGGACGCTCCACGCACCCGGTTCCCAGGTCCAGCTGAGGGCCACCCCACGCCACCTGCCCGGGGGAGAGGCCGGCCAAGCCGGCGTCTGTGGCTGGCAGAACAGCGTGAGGCGTGAGGGGAGGCGGGTTAGGAGGTGGGCAGGACAGAGGGCGGGGCCGGGGCGGTATGTCCGGCTCGGGCCGTGCCGACCGCGCTCTGCCCCGAGTCCCCTCCGGCTGCCGTCAGAACCCCTCTCTTCCACGGCCCTTGCTTGTCTGCCCCTTGTGTGATGTGGGAGGTGCTGCCGGGAAAGTCAGTGACCAGGGACCCCGAGCACACCACTCGGGAGGCCGAGCGCGGCCACTCCATTGGCCCTCAGGGACGTATGACCGAATGGGGACCATCCCTGTCCCCCACCCCCCTGCCGTGAGGACACACGTCTGTCACCGCTACAGTGGCGTCGACGCCGTGGGCAGAGTCAACGCTTTGGTTTAAACCGTCACATGTAGGATAAAGAAGAGGAAACAAAGTCATTTGCATTTCCCCCAACGTGGAGCACTTGGCTGATGTTCCTCCTCCAAGTGCCCATCCGGTCCGGGGTCCTGCCAGCCTGAAGGATGGGCCACCCATTCTCCTTTGTTGTTTTAGAATACTTCTTTATTTGTCCTTCGTTCTGAAGCGTGTGTCTTGGGGCATAGAATTCTGGGACGCAGAGTCCTGGGGGCCACCAAGTGTGACCACAGGCGGGATCATCCTGCTTCCACCCAGGGGCCTGGGACCCGGGTCATGCTTCTTGCTGGGGACATGGCACTGGGGCCGGGCCGGGCCACCTCCGCAGGGGGACAGCAGCCAGCGAGCGGGATGCAGGGGGCAGGGCAGCAGCCGGGCCCTGGCAGGGGCCCCCGCGGTCAGTGGGGCCGGTGCAGCCCCAGGCTGACCGCTGCTCGGCCAGGGCCTCCTGCCTCCGCCCTGAAGGTGGGGCTGTCCTTGGCGGCCCCGCTGGGTCCGAGGGGCCGTGAGCAGCCCCCTGCTCTCTGCAGGCTCTACCTCATCAGCGGCGGGGTTCCCTTCATCATCTGTGGAGTCACAGCTGCCACCAACATCGGGAATTACGGGACGGAGGATGAGGACGCGGCATAGTGAGTATGAGCCGGGGGCGGGGGTGACCCGGAGCGCCTGCCAGGTCCCGTCCCCAGGCTGCAGGGTGTCCGGTGGCAGCATCACCGTGCGTCGCGGCCACTCGGGGACGACGGACTGGAATAGCCAGGAAGGGAGGCGCAGCCTTGCTGAGCCCCACACGGCGGGGATCCGGGGCCACCCGGTGACTATCCCAAGGTGCCCACGTGCTGATGGCATGAGGCCTGGTCACCCAAAGCTGTGCTCCTCCCCGACAGACTTGGTTCCCCCTCAGCCTCTTTCCCTGGGCACCGAGGGCGGGGTGTGTGGGGATGGGGGGGCCAGCGGCAGGGCCGAGGCTGGCAGAGTGGGCTGCATGGAGGAGCTGAGTGAGGCCCCCAGGACGGGCCGCACCCCCCGCTGCGCGGCACCCAGGCACTTCCCAGCACCCTCCCCTGACCTCGGACCCACGGAGCCTCCGCTGTGCACGGGCCGCCCCCGGAGGGGGCTGGGACCCTTGCTCCTCACGCAGCAGGGATGCCACATGTCGGCCACGCCCACCGTGCTCCCCACGCCCCGCCCCCTCCCCGTTGGCTCTGACCCGGCGACCCCAGCCGGCTGCTGACAGGCTCCAGGGCCGGCCCGGCCGTGTCGCCTGCACTCGCTGTAGAGAACGTCCTGGTCCCCCCAGCTCAGGGGCAAGGGCCCTAGTCCACCAGGCGCCTTCCAGGGCGCGGCCCGCACTGACCGGCTCTCCTCCCGCAGCTGCTGGATGGCCTGGGAGCCCAGCCTGGGCGCGTTCTACGGGCCCGCGGCCTTCATTGCCCTGGTCACCTGCGGGTACTTCCTGGGCACCTACGTGCAGCTGCGGCGTCACCCGGAGCGCCGCTACGAGCTCCGGGAGCGGACGGAGGAGCAGCACCGGCTGGCAGGGCCAGAGGCCGGCCACAGCCCCGGGGCCCCCCCGGGGACGCCGCCTGCCGGCGTAGCCCTGGCCGCCTCGCTGCTGCAGAACGAGCACTCGCTCGAAGCCCAGCTGCGGGCCGCGGCCTTCACGCTCTTCCTGTTTGCGGCCACCTGGGCCTTCGGGGCCCTGGCTGTGGCCCAGGGCCCCCCCCTGGACATGGCCTTCAGCTGCCTGTACGGCGCCTTCTGCGTCACCCTGGGGCTCTTTGTGCTCATCCACCACTGCGCCAAGCGGGACGACGTCTGGCGCTGCTGGTGGGCCTGCTGCCCCTCCCGCCGGGGCCCCCAGGCCGCGGAGCTCGGCGCCCACCCCGCGCTCGACGCCAACGGGGACGCGCTGGGGCGCACCGCCTGCCTGCAGGGCCTGCCGTGCCCCGGCCAGCTGCGGGGCTTCGGGCACCCCCCGGCCGGCCGCTGCAAGATGACCAACCTGCAGGCCTCCCAGAGCCACGTCAGCTGCCTGTCGCCGGCCACGCCCTGCTGTGCCGAAATGCACTGCGAGCAGCTGCTGGGGGACGTGGTCCACACGCACGAGGAGGACGCCTGTGGGCACAGCCCCCTCCGGCACCGGGGCCCCCAGGGCGGGACGGAGCCGCACTACTTCAGCCGGCACCGGGCCGCCGCGGCCGAGGAGTGTGCTTACCACATCCCATCCAGCCTGGACGGCAGCCTCCCCAGCTCACGCACGGACAGCCCGCCCAGCTCGCTCGAGGGCCCGGCGGGGACGCATGCCCTGGCCTGCTGCGCCCAGGGCGGCCCCTTCCCGCTGGTCAGCCAGCCCGAGGGCGGCCGCATCAGCCCCACGCTCTACGGCTGCGCCGTGCGGCCCGGCAGGGAGGCGGCCCGCGGCCCGGCCCACTTCGAGATGCTCCGCAGGACCCAGTCCCTGCCCTTCGGAGGCCCCAGCCAGAACGGGGTGCTCCAGGGCAGTGTGTGCAAGGCGGTGCCGTACGGAGCCGACAGCACCGGCAACATCCGCACGGGGCCCTGGAGGAACGAGACGACTGTGTAGCCGGCGTGCGGCAGAGCAGGGCGGGGGCTGGTGGCCCCCTGAGGTCCGGGGGGAAGGGGTGGGCGCCGCGTGGCAGCGCCTCGGGCACGGCTGGCAGCCCCCGCTGACCCCTCACTGGAGGGCGCCAGTGGGAACCCACTTCGGGCTGCGCTGCCTCCCCTGACCCCGAGGTCAGACAAGCTGTCCACGTCCACAGCCACTGCTTTCCCACCCGCAGCCCCCGGCCCCGGGGCAGCCCAGCCGCGCGGCCTCGGCGCGGAGAGCCAGCCTGCCTGCGGCAGCCGCGGAGCCCGCACCATGGGTGGTTTCTGGCGTTCACCACGTGTGTGCAGTTTTGTTCCACGGGGCGGGCAGCCTGCTGGTCGGTCCAGTGCGCTCTGGACGGGGGACCTGTGTCCGAGCCTGTGCTGGGCGCCGTGTCCACCTTTGGCCCCCGTCCTGGAAGCAGCCGAGGCCCTGCAGGCCCTGGAGCCTCAGAGACACAGCGGCACCGGCTGCCCTCGGGGAGCCCGTCCCCTTTGGGGGGGGGCCACCGCCCTGTAAACGACCAAGTGCCCCTTCACGAGGGTCCGACATTCGCAGCCACCGCCGTCAGGACTGGGTCCTGCCTCAGCGTGGCATTTAGGAGAAACACAGTTCCCTTCGTCCGGGAGGGGGGGACTGGCGTTCCCAGGGACCTCGGGGCACAAAGCCCGACGCGGGGGACAGGCGGGCCCGTCCCACAGGCGGGGCCCACGGGTCCTCACGGGGCAGCAGCCTGGACGTCCAGAGGGACGCGACGTGCGTGTGCAACTGGGCACGGCCGCCCCCTCCCTCCGGCCTTCCCTACCCCCGGAACTGACACGTGCACGTGGCACTCGTACGTGTGCCACGTGTGTGCACGTGTTCACACACCGCCACCACCACACGTGCACAGGGCACGCCGTGCTCGGCCGCTGGGTGGCCCGGCATTGCCAGGGGGGCGCGCCGGTGTGTCAGGCGCCCCGGGTCCCGTGCTCAGCATCTGAGCCCGGGGAGCCTCACCTCCCAGGATGCCCGCGAACCTGATGGGGAAGTCGTGACTCGCCGCGGGGTCCGTACCTGCCGCAAACCCCGCGTGCCCTCACAGGTCAGCCAGACGGGCAACCAGGTGGCCGCTGGGTGGACCTGCCTCCGTCGCTGTCCAGCCTGTCCACCCGCTCCCGCAGCCGACTGAGCCTGAGACCGAGGCTGCGCTGTGTCCACGCCACAGAGGCAGTGCCGGCAGGTGAAATACAGTGTTTGCGTCGTCCGCCCGCCTGCGGCTGGTTAATGGCGTCCGTGTGTCTCCGGCCCTCTGCCCCCAGCGCCCCCTGCGCCCAGCGGTCCCCGCGGAGCGGGGCTGCGCCTCGTTCCACCCAGAGCTGCGCGGCACCGAGCAGCTGCCTCGCGGGTGCTGGCTCGGCCCCCAGGGCCGCTGGGGGCCGGTGCTGGGACGTGCCCCAGGGGCGTGCGAGGTTTCCAGAGCATGGAAAGGCGCGACTGCAGGCGGGCGCTCCATGACGAAGGAGCTGCCGGAAGGCGGGGCGAGGGCCAGAGCCCCAGCTCCCTGCGGCCGGACCTGCTGTGCCCCCCTTGCTCTGTGCACGTGTGCGCGGTGTGGGTGGTGTGGTGTGTGCGTTGTGTGTGAGTGTGTGAGTGTGCGGTGAGAGAGTGTGAAGAGACTGCATGGGTGCTCACGTGTGTCTGCATGTCTGCGCTGTGTGGCTGTGCATGTGGGAGCCCATGAATGGGTGAGCGTGCGTCGGGGTGTGCGTGAGGGCATGTGGGCCAGGGGGGCTGGGTGGAGCTGGGACATGCAGCCACGTGTGAGAGACACACCACACAAGGGACAGTCCTCCAAGGGCCCCTGGCAGCGACCCCGCCAGGCGGTGGGTCCAAAGGCCTTGGTGTCACGGGTGACCAGGTCAGTCCGAGGACCAGCAACCCCCGGGCCCGGGGACGGGCTGGTGGGGCAGGGCGGCCGCTCCTCTGGGTCCCGGCACCCACCACCCTCTGCCGCCCTCACGCCTGCCAGCTGGCAAGTGCCGGCCCCTCAGAGTCCTCACCGGGGTGTCCGGGGAAACGCCAGCTGCTGCCATGTGTTCCCCCTGCCCAGGGTCGGACGCCCAGGGTGACATCGTGAGTTCTGCATAATGACAACACTTCCTCCGTCTTGGGCGTCAGGTTCCTCCACACCCACAGCTCTGGCCCCACCCCTGTGTGCCTTCCAGGGGCAGCCTGGCCGCCAGGGGAGCCCCGCTTCCTGTGGTTGGGATCCTGGTGTCAGAGTGGGGCTGGGTGGTTAGAGACGGAGCTTCTGGATCCGCCCCCGGCCAGGCACGGCACCGCCCTAGGGTCGGGGCCACGGGGCCGGCCACCGCCCCCCGGCTCTCCCGGGGTCCTGCCAGGCTGCCCCTCCGGGCAGCTTCCTGCGGAGTGGGGGCCCCGCTCTTTCTCAAGCTCCCCAAGAGCAGGAAGTCACATTTGGGGTCTTCGAGTGTTCCCAACCCAAGCGTGCTACGGAGCAGGGCAGCCGGACTTGGGTCCCCTCGGTCCCTGAAGCCCTGTAAAGAAGCACCGTGAGTCCCCAGGGGGGCACCGGGGCCCGGGCGAGTGACGTGGGGTCGTGTGGGACAAGATGCGAGCCCTTGGTCCCCATGTGTCCCCTCTTGGGAGCTGTGGCTTGGCTGCACCGTTGTGCGGTTGCGACGAGGGGGCAGCAGATCCACGCGACACCCTAAGGTGAAAGGCACGGCTCGGCCTGGGCCAGCAGGAGCCTCCCAGCAACTCCCCACCGCGAGGGCGCCGGGCCGGGGGCTGCGTGTCAGACGCCGCAGGCCCCCCGGCGGAGGGGGAAGGCGGGCAGCGTGAGGCCCCTGGGGGCCCCAGGAGAGGCTGGGGCATTGGAACCGGGGCCCAGGCCTCGGAGGGTGGGGGCAGGTGGCCCCACAGGGGCTGGGTCCCTGATGGGGGGTCCTCCGGCCCTGCGGCACCCTCGGCGCGCCCCACGGAGCCGGCAGGCGGGCCCCCAGCAGCGTCCTGGCTCTGCTGCAGCCCCGAAGAGAAACATCGCCACCGACTTGACCCCAAGAGCACAAAGGTGTAGCAGAGCCGCAGTCACTGGGAACACGATTTCACAACTTAATTAGTAAACGTTCCATTTGTTAAAACTTACGTGCGTATTTGTGGCCAAAACGTGCAATAAGGGACGTATAGAAACTTTCCGGCATGAAAATGTCAGAGTGCAATAAAATCCTGGGCACAACTGGGCGGCCAGCAGGCGTCGCACAAGCGAGGTCCGCACGCGGGCTTCTGGCCGTGGGAGGAAGCCGCGTTCCTGCGGTTTTTGTCCGTGGTCGGTGGTGGGCACCAAGGCCACGCTGGCATTCAGCTTCCTGTATTTATTTACAAGCGTGACTGACAGCTTCGTTTCAAACCATCGGTGTTTACACCACACCAGATAGGATATTCACTGCGATTATTTACATTTTACGGGGTTTTTAAAAAATTTGGACGCCGACTTCAAAACACACAAAGGGTTTGATGGCTCTTCAAACTGTGTTAGGGAAAACGAGCGCCTGGGCTTCGAGCCCCTGCTCCGGGGCCTCGGAGGGGCCTGGCCAAGCTGAGCACCAGCTGTGCAGCCTCAGGCGGGAGGACAGGACTCGAGGGCCAGGACCAAGCCCTGACGGTGACTGAGCGTGACAAGGGCCGGAGGCCGTGGGGGCTCCTGTCCGGGCCGCTGACCGGGAGAGAGGCCAACGGGAGGGTCGGGCCCGGACCGCAGCGCCCTGTCCTGCCGAGGAGGGGAAGTGGCTGTGCGCAGGGAGGGGCCTGCAGGAAGCGGGGTTGGGCAGAGCGTGAGTGACCGGTCAGCGAGACAGGTGAGAAGACCGGGCACCGGGCAGCATCTGGGAGGGGCCTCGGGAGGAGGGGCGCCACAGCCGTGTCCTGGACACCCAGGGACCGAGGCCGTGCCGGTGGGCTGCGGGGGAGGCGGCGGCGCCGCTTGGAGCGGAGCTGGCGGTTCGCTCTAGGCGGACACCCAGGGCTGGCGGCCGCCTCTGCACGCGCCTTGCTGTCTCACGTGGCGTTGCCCGGTCTGGACGGCTCCGACCTCGGGAGCCGGGCCCTCACCCCGCAGCACTCATCCGGCATCTCCTGCGTGGGAGGCCGAAATCACGCGCTCCTTGGAGCGTCGCCGGCAGGTGTGCAAACACGCGGGAAGACAACAAACTTCCAGCAAAAGTTTCATGTCGCTCCGTGAACAGGGAGACCTTGACCACAAACTCCGACAGGAATGCAGGCAGGTAGCAGGAGCCGCGGGGCGTTCTGTCCCAGGCCCCGCCCCGTGGCCCTGCGTCCCTGTGCCCGTCCCCGTCTCCAAGCGAGCGCCAGGCCTGCTTGTAGCAGAGACGGGACGTGCTTTCAGGCTGCCGCGGCCACGGCTGACTCAGCAGATGTCAGCGGCCCATCTGGTCTCAGTTCTACCCAAATGGGATGCGCCTTCTCCTGACGTAGGCCCTGTCGTTACACCCGGGAGCACGTGGATCGTCACTTCTCCCGCAGCTGTGACGTGACCCTTGCCCTGTCCCCGTCAGTCCTCACCCTAGACCCTGGGCGCCTGGCAGGCTGCACTGTGACCCCGGGGCCAGATGGCAAAGCCCCCATGCCTTCCCCACGAGGCCCCTGCAGCAGAGGGACAGGCCGCTCGGCTCTGCGGACCCAGGGCCCCGGGACACGCCCGCCTGCCGCTGTCAGCCTCCCTCCGAGACCCTGCGTGGCGCCCGCCGAGAGCTCAGGGACAGCAGGCCCCAGTCCCACGTCTGTGAGGTGCCTGCTCGCCGTTTCTACTGCCCCTGCCCCGCCCCTCCCACCCTGGCTGCTGCCCCCACTTCCAAACGCCCCCGGGGCGGGGGAGGCTGCCCCCAATTCCTGCTTCAGTTGCGCTGGGGAGCCCGAGGGTCAGCATCGGCCACAGGTAAAGCTGCCCAGCACCCACTGCCCGCCTGCTTCTCCGGTGCCTTGGGAGCCCTTCACATCCTCAGTGTCCCGGCCGGACCCAAGGACAGGATGTGAGGAATCTGCGTCCCTGCCCAGTGCCCCGCCCCCTGGATCTTGAAGACCAGCCGCAGTCCCGCCTCATTCACACGGGAAGGGCGCCGGCTGCACGTGGGCCAGGCCGGGCTGTGGGGACCAGGCTGGTCCCCGGGGGAGGCCTCACTGCAGCGCTGCCCTTGGAGCCGGGGTGGGGGGCACCCAGGTCCGCCCCAGTGGAGAGTTTACCTTCCACGGGAATGTGGGTGCGGGCACCCGGCTCTTTGCCAGGCTGGGGGCAGGGTGGGTCCCGGCTCCTTGCCCAGCCGCAGGCCCCGCTTGGGCCAAGGCTCGCCTGGGCACTGCGCACAGCCCGGCCAGTAAACCCTGATGAGCATCGAAGGGCTGACCCCCGAGCAGGCAGGACGGCCAAAGGGGGCGGGGGTCTGGTCTTTGGGCTTCTGTCCCACACCTAGCGGCTGGCAGGCCAGCTGCGGCTGAAGCTGTAACTGTTGGTCCCCACATGGCGTCCGTGGGACCCTAACTCGAGCGATGGGGCTGACCACCCTTCAGCCGCTGGGCCCGGTCCCTGTCTGCTTCGTCCCGATGGCCCCGGGCGCCTCTGCGGCCGCCACCCCCGCGGGGACTGCGGCAGTCCCGCCCCGGGCCGGCGGGGCGAGGCAGGCAGGGGCCCGGCGGAGGGTGGACGCCCCGCGCAGCGCTGCCCTTGGGGTGCGCCACGGCCGTCGGCACCCGCGTGCCCGGCGGGGCCCGGCCCCCCGGCGGCGCCTCTGGGAACAGCACGCGAGCCGCGCGCCTAGCCCCGCCCCCGCCGGCCGCCCCCTCCGCCGCGCATCCCCCAGAAAGCGGCCAAGGTCCCCGCGGGAGCCTAGCGCCCGCCAGAGTGGGCGCGGCCTCGCGAGCGTTGCGCCCCCCAGCGGGGCCCCCGGCGGTCCCCTCCCTACTGGGGCGACACTGCGGCAGACGCGCGGGCGGAGGCCGCGGGGGGCGGCGCGGGGCGCGTTGCCATGGCGCCGGGGAGCGCGTAGCCGGACCCGCGCGGAGCCAGCCGGGCAGACCCGGGCGCAGAGGCCGCGGGAGGGCCCTGCGAGCCGGGCAGGGGCGCGTGCCGGGCGCGGAGCGCGGAGCCAGCGGGGCCCTGGCAGAGGCTGGCGCCGCCGGCGCGCTCGCAGGATGCAGGCCATGGAGCCGGCCGCGGCGGATTTTTACGAGGAAGACGGCAAGGACCTCGACTTCTACGACTTCGAGCCGCTCCCCACTCTGCCCGAGGACGAGGTGAGTCCCGGCCCTACGGTGGGCCCCCCACCCTCCCGGCGGAGGGGTCCGTGGAGAGTCCCGGGGAGGGCCTCTCCGACCCCCAGGCTCCTGCCGCTGGGCCAGGTCTTGGCTGCAGGAGGATCGCTGGCTGGTCTCACTGCCCCCCCCCCCCGCGCCGCCCCCGCCCCGCTGCCTGCCGGCCTCAAACGTTTTCTCCTGTTGGGGGCCGGGCCCCCGAATGCCGCCGGGACAGCTGTGGGTGGGCCGTCACCGAAGTTGAGGCTCTGCGAGGAGCGGGCTCCCATCGCCAGGGGCTGGGCGGCGGCCTGTGGGGGCGCTCCTGGCGGCCTGAACGCCGGGTCCTCGTCGGCAGGAGGTGCTGGCCGAGCCCAGCTGGGCCGGGCCGGACTGCAGACCAGCTGGGGGCGGCGTCAGGACTGGGGTTGCGTCGGGCTCCCGGGGCAGGGCCCTCGCGCAGATCCCGAGTGAGCCCCCCGGATGCACAGGGGTCCCTGTCGCATGGGTTTCTGGCCATTAACCTCCTCGGATCCCTGTGACCGCTGCAGACGGACCAGCGCTCACTTGGCCTGGGTCGGTCCCTGAGGCCCTGCAGTGTCCCCACGGGCTCTGGGTCAAAGCAGTGAACTCCATGGCTGTGAACGAGCCAGGCCCTTCTGGCCGAGAGGTGACCCCAGGAGCACAGCCACTCCCAGGGAGACCCTCGCATCTCTCGCGGCTTCAGGGCCTGCACGGGGGCCCTGGGCTTCCCTGCTCACTGGTGAGGGCCGGCGCCGTGCAGCCAGTTGGCCGCCTTCCCTCTGCGCGGCTGGTGCCGGTGGAGACCCTGCGGGTGCCCGTCGGGTGAGCCAGGCTGGCTGGTGCCTCCTGGGTGGAGAGGGGGCTCACCCCCAGTGGGGCTGCAGCACCCAGGCCCCCAGCCCCCAGGGCTCAGGCTGAAGGAGCTCAGCTCTTCTGGGCAGCAGTCTGTCTCAGGAAGCCGCTGCTGGCCCGAGGGACTGCTGAGCCAGTGCCCGGGGGCCGGAGCTGCCCCCCCTTCCCCCACGGTGACCTGGATTTGGTGACGGAAGCTGCGGAGAAGAGAGGCAAGGGAATAAATAAACCCTTGCGTATCTCCGTGGCTTTGATGCGGCCGGCACAGCCCCCGGGATGCGTTCCAGGGCACCTGTGGGAAGGTGTGTCCTGAGCGGAGCCGCAGGCGCAGAGCGAGCCGCCCACGCTCACGGCCTCCTCCGGGCCTGGCGCCCGAGCAGCACGGGGGCCGCGGAGCCAGGGCCGGAGCCAGGGCCGGACCCAGAGCTGCCCCCGGCCTTGGTCTGCCCTCCCACCGCGTCCCGGCACCTTCTCGCGGGAGGCGCCCGGGGCCCCCTCTGTGCACGGCACCCGGGGCCGGGCTGCCCTCTGTCCCGGGACCGAGGCCTCCAGGGGACGCAGGACGTCCCCGCTGTCCCACTGCCAAGCGGCCGGCGGGAAGGTCCCAGGGGCTCTTCCGACCTCTCTCGCCTCTGGAGAGACCCCGGCCGGGCCCGAGGGCGCAGCAGCTCCCCTGCACCCCCCGACTCAGCGGGGTTGGCGCAACGGTTCTCGGTCTCGTCGGGGCGCCTGACTCTGCCTGCCACAGCGACACCTGGTGAGGTGGCCTCCGGAAAGCCGTCCGTGCAGGCGAGGGAGGGGCCGGCTGCACGTGGCCTGGGCAGGCGTCCTGACAGAGCCCAGGGAGCCGGCCCGGCGGTGACACGGCCGCCCCCTGGGCAGGGGCAGCAGGCACCAGACCCAGGGCAGGAACAAGCCTCACGGGGCACAGGAGCGTGCCCGCTACCACAATGGATTGTACAGTGAGGTCAGGAAATAGAATCTCGTGGACCCCCACGGCCCCTGGGTGTCCCACCCCAGTGTCCCCCGAGAAAACCCGAAGAGCCCGTGAGCGTGTGAAGACATACACATGGGACATCCCTGTCACAGGCATAGAAAACCCGCCCGCTGTGACTGCCCCTCCACGGAGCCAGGTGGGCGGGCCCCAGAGGGCCGGGCGGCGGCCCTCCCTCCCTGCCTGCTGGGGGCCCAGGGCAGGGGAGCGGGGAGCGGTCTCTAGAAAACAGCTTGGCGTTCTGTGTGGAGGACTCCCGCGCTGGTGTGCGCCCTGTGGGCGCCGACGCGTGGGGGAGCTCTGCCGGAGGCCCCGGGGCACGCGGTGAGGGGCTGGCACCGCCCAGCACGGCCCTGGAGGTGGCCGCCCAGTGGCCGCTGGTCCCCAGCAGGCGGCACCACACCCGAGCCAAGGACAGGGCGTCAGGAGCAGGCGGGGCAGCCGGTCAGGCGGGACGCTGGCCATCGGGGGACCGTGGGGCGGCAGGGCGGGCCGGCCTGGACAGCAGGGGGCGCGCTGGTGTGGGCATGGGGGCGGGGCAGGCCGTCCCCTGGCCCCCAGACCCCCCTGAGGGGTGGGGAGCGTCGGTCTCTGTCCCCAGCTCCGCGAGAACCTCCCAGCCCCCGTGGGCAGCCGGGCAGGGGCCGGGCTCGGGGATCCGAAGGCAGGCGGGGCCTCGTCATTGTCCAGAGGAGCGCACGGCGCGGAGCCCTGAGAATGGGGGACACTCCCACTGGGCCCTAGAGGGGCCACACGACACCTGGAAATGCGCTCGGAGCAGCCGGTGGCTGAGAACCAAGGAGAGTTCCGCATGGGGTCACAGTTACGAGTTGGGGGGCTCTTCGGTGCAAGCAGGCAGCCCCCGCAGGGCCCTGTGCAGCACCCCCCAGGCCTGGGCGTCTGGCAGCTGGAGGGACCCCCCGACAGGCCTGGGGTGGTGGGCAAACCCCAGCGGCAACCAGGGTTTGTGTTGGCAGGCCCCCGTCCCAACCCTCCTGGGTCCCCACGGAGCCCTGGCTCAGTCTGTCTTTGCTGCGACCAGACGCAGCCCTGGGCAGAAAGCCGGCCCTGCCCGCCCCCGGGGCCGCCCTGGGGAGCAGCCCCCACAGGCCCCACCTCCCAGCCGGGATGGGCCGCCCTCCTGCCCAGCTGCAGCATGGAGACCGCTCTTCCCTGCCCCGCAAGGAGCAGGACTCAGGGGCCCCTCCCCCACGCCGATCGCATGCCCCACCCAGGCACTGCTGTGCGAGGGCGGCGAGGGGTACGGCGCGAGGCCCCATGGTCCCAGGGATCTGGAGCCCCGTCTTGGGGAGCCCGCAGCGCCCCGGGGCTCCGTCCGGGCCGGCACGCCGTCCTGCTGGGGCCGCTGGGTCTCGGGGCTCAGCCCCACAGGAGCAATGGCTCAGGACCTGAGGATGTCGCCCCATAAAATCACGCAGAGAAGCCCAGTTAGCTGCCCCCCCCGAACGGGGGCTGGGGCTACGGGGCAGGGCCAGGGCCTGAGCGGGGAGCCGAGCAGCGGCCCAGGGGTCGCCCCCGTGGGCACGGCCGGCCCGCGCTCCCCCCTCGGCCGCGCGCCCGCCACGTGCGGTGTGAGCAGGGGCTGCCGGCCACGTGGGCTGTGTATTCGCCTGCGCCTCACCCGTGTGTGTGTGCACGTCTGTTGCGTGCTATGGGAGGGTATGTGCGGGACGCCCGTGTGCCTGCACACGTGTTTGCCACATGCATGCGTGCGCACGGGGCCGGGGCTCCCGGACCCAGCCCGCGGGCGTCGCCGCGAGGCCCCCGCCGAGCCCGATCAGAAAGACCTGTTAGCCGCGACCCTCGGGACTCGGCGGCTGGAGGCAGGACCCGGGGTTTCTGGGCCCCCCACCCCCTACCCCAGTCGCGGGCTCCGCTGCTTGTCCTGGCCTCTCCTTGGACACCCCCAGCACCTGCCTCACAGGGACGCGTGTCCGGAACCACTGGGGCTGTCAGCTCGTGGAGCCGCGTGTCCCTGCGGCCGCGCCCTGAGCCGGCTCCCACGGGCCGCCCTCCCTCATCCCCGCTGCCCCCCCAGACAGAGCTGGCAGCGCCGGGGGAGGGGCTCCGCCGGGCCCCCCGAGCCCACTCCCACCACCCCCTCGGCCGACCCCTGAGCGGTAGCCAACATGCACCCCGGTCCCTGTTCTCCCGTCCTTTCGGGGGTTAAGCCTCCTGCCCCTTCTGTCCCGGGGACGGGGTCCTCGCCACGCAGCGGGGGACATTCAGGACGGGTGCGAGGTGCCTCCTGGGGCCCGGCGGCCCGTCTGTGCTGGGAGGGCCGCCCTAGGAGCCCTGTGGCGGGGCGGGGCGCGGAGTCCGGGGCTCGGCCCCTCCCTCCTGGGGACCGGGCGGCCCAGACACGGGGCACCGGGGCGCGCAGGGCCGGGCTGAGGTCCTCGGTGCCCGATGTGTGTGTGAGGCTGTGTCAGCGTGTGTGCAGGTACGTGCTGGCGTGCCCGTGAGTGTGCGTGTGCACGGGGGTGTTCCGTGCACGTGACGGTGTGCTGGCCTGTGCGCCGGCGCGTGCACGTTGGTGACACGGCCGCAGCTGGCCTCTCGCAGGGTCAGGAGCCGCTCGGACCTGCGGGGCGACCCGTGCCCGCCGTGTGGCCTGCCCAGCGCGAGCTCCGCAGCCAGCGGGCCACGTGCGTGTTGCTGCGTGTCCCGTGGCTGTGCTGTGGGCCCGCGCGCGTCAGCCTGTCGCTGGCGCCCTGGGCGCAGCTGCGTCTTCCCGGAGCCGCCCGGTCCCCGCTCCAGTGTCCCACCCCCTCCGCGTGCCGGGCTGTGCGTGGTCAGCACTGTCGGGGCCAGCGGGCGGCCCAGCCCTGGCACCGCAGGGACCAAGGCCTGGGGCCCAGCGGCACCTCGCCTTCTCGCCAGACGCGCTGGGGCCGCTGACACCCGGGAAAGAGCGGGCGACGTTCTGCTGTCGTCTTAAGACCTCGCCGAGAGCCTCGCCCTGACCCAGACGCAGCAGCGCCGCGGGGGCCGGCCGTGGCGCGGGGGCCGGGCTCCCGGGGCCGAGGGCCCGTCCCGGGCCCGCGTCAGCCTGGCCTGTGTTGGCAGGAGAACGTGTCCCTGGCCGACATCCTCTCCCTGCGGGACGGCGGCCTCAGCGAGCAGGAGGCCTGGGCCGTGTGCCTGGAGTGCAGCCTGTCCATGCGGAGCGTCGCCCACTCAGCCCTCTTCCGGACGCTCTGCATCTCGCCCGACACCCTGGCCTTCAACACCAGCGGCAACGTGTGCTTCATGGAGCAGCTCAGCGGTGAGGCCCGGTGGGACCTGCCCCCCGGGGCTCGGGCCGTGGGTGGGCGCAGGTCCCCGCAGCCCCGTCGCTGAGCCCCCTCGAAGGACTGGGGGCAGGGGGCAGGGGGCGGGGCCTGCCGGCAGCGAGGACAGCCTGGTGCTGGCCCTGGGGCCCCGCCCCCGGGAGGGCTCCACGGGGGTGCCTGGCACCGTCACCTCCCTCCTTGAGGAAGGCAGTGCCTGTCCTTCCTCTTTGGAGCCACCTTCCCACCCTTGCCAGGAAGGCGATGGCTTCCGCTCCCTCAGGGACCAGGACACAGAACGGGCAGGGGGCAGCCCTGGCCCCCAGGGAGCTGGGGCTGGGGCCTGCCCCTCCCCCCCGCCACGGGGGCCCCGCGGGGGCGTCTGATCGCAGCGTCATCCCTTTCCTCCCCCAGACGACCCCGAGGGTGCCTTTGTCCCCCCGGAGTTTGACGTGACCGGGAACACCTTTGAGGTAGGTGGCGGCGGGCGAGCCTTCGTGGGCGGGCAGCCGCCGAGGGCGGCTGGGAAAGGGCGTCGGCAGGGCCTGCGCGGCCGGGGTGTCCCTGCACGGCTGCCCCCCCGTCACCCCCACCGGCAGCTCGGGCCCCGGGGGCGCCGTGGTGTGTGGACGCGTCGTCGTCTTTACAGTTGAAAACACGCTTTCCAGAGCGTGAATTTTCTGTATTTAACCCTTTAAAAGAGCCTGAAACTAGCAGTGGTGGCAGGAACTGTCGCGTCTCCGAGGCCCCGCGGGTTCACGCGGGGCCGGCAGCCGCCCGGGCTCACCCTGGAGGTCGCGCACAGGCTGCGGCCGCGGCCCCTCGTCCCCCGGCCGCAGGGCTGCCCCGCACGCGCCGTGCAGCACGGCAGGGCCCTCTGTCCGTCCGTCCGTCCGCACATCTGTCCGCAAAGGGCTGTGCTGGGCTCCGGCCCACAGTGGGCAGTGGCCATGGAAACCAGCGCCCGTGGTTTCTGTCCCCATGGCACCCAGAGGCCCCTAAGGTGACAAATAACTCCGTCGTCGATAAAGAAACAAGGAATTCCAGACTCAGAAATCTTCCTGGGAAAAGCCCGTTGGCTCAGAGACATGCGTTTCCGCTTTTAACCCCATGAGAAGTCTCGGGTGGGCCCCGCTGTGCTCGCTTCTACTTGAAAACAAGCCGGTCCTGGGCCCTGCCCCGGGCGGCGGCGGCCCAGCTCCGTGGGCCGGGGGTCGCGGGTCGCGGGCGCGCCCTGCCGCCGGTCTGGGGGCTTTGGGGCCGTCCCGTGCGAGCCCCCAAAACCTTCGCTGTGCCAGGTCCCCTCCCCGCTCCCTGCACCGACCTCTTTCTGTCTGTGCGGCGTTGCTGGCGCGGGGAGCCAGCCCGGACGTGCCGGCAGCACTGGCGTCCTGTGTCCCTGGCGCCACCCCCGCCCCAGCGACCGGCACCTCCCCCGCACGTCCCTCCATCCGTAACTCACCAGGCAGATTCCGAAAAGCACTTGCGCTGTTTGTAACCTGATGAAATGGCGCCACACTGCAGGAGATGTTCCGGGACTTCCTTTGATGTTTTCCCGGGGACTCCTTCGCACGGCCCAGGTGAAGCGGCGCAGCTCGCCCGCGGCCCAGGGAGCCTGTGGCCAGCCCTGTGGGGGCCAGGTCGCCCGCAGAGCCCGGGGGCCCGCGTCGGAGGGTCCGGTGCAGCGCTGTGCGCGCCCGGCCCCGCCCGACGGCCGGCACGCCGAGGGCCGGCTCATCCTGGCACTGGAACTGCGCGCCCCCGGCCGAAGCCTGGCGGTTTGCCCGCCCCTCCCCCAGGCGACCTCCTTCCCGCTGTCCCGGGGGTTCGGCTTTTCCAGGTTCCACGTCTGCGGGCGTCACACAGCCTGTGCTTTTCCCTGGCCGACGGCCGTCACTTAGTACGATGCCCTGCAGGGCCCTGCTCCTTCCTCGGGGCCGAGCAGCCTCCCCCGGTGTGCGTGGCCACCACGAGGGCTCTGTCCACTCACCCGGGGACAAGCGGTCAGGCCGTTCTCACCTGCTGGCCACTCACATGCTGCCGCGGGGGCCATGGGCGCGCCCGTCTCTTCGAGGCGGTGATGTCCTTCCCTCTGGGTCGGTGCCCAGAAGTGGAATCCCTGCGTCCCAAGGTGGCCCCGTTTTCACCTTTCTGAGGAGCCCCCACCCTGCTGTCCACAGTGGCCACCCACTCCATGCCCCCACCATGGTGCGCGAGGGTCCCCTTTCCCCACGTCCCCGCGCGCACTTGTCTCTCCTCCTTTTGAGGACAGCCGGTCTGCCCGGGGGGAGGTGGCAGCTCCGCGTGGCGTGGCTCTGCGTCTCCCCGACGCTGCGTGACGCGGAGCATCTTTTCACGGGCCTGCTGGCCGCCCGCCGGCCTCTGCGGAAGGATATCTACTCAGCCCCTCTGCCCGTTTTTGAACCAGGTTGTTCTGCTGCGGTTGAGCCGGGAGAGTCCCTTACAGCTTTCGGATGTTAACTGCCCAGGAGACACCTGTGGGCGAGCCTGTTCTTCCATTCCGCAGGCTTTCGGTTTCGTTGTTGTTTCTCTGTGCAGAAGCTTCTCAGGTTGACGTGGTCCCGCTTACCTGTTCTTCCTTTGGGTGCTTGTTACTGCATTGATGCTGTTGTGAATGGAACTGTTTTGTTTATTTCTTTTTCAGGTATTTCGCCACACACTGACTTTGCGTTCTGAAGTTTTACTGAATCCAGCGGTTCGTTCGGACAGGGGGCGGGGCGGGCGGAGGGCGTTCAGGGCCTTCTCCACGTAAGGCCGTGTCGTTGAACAGGCAGGCAGGCAGTCCTAGCTCATCGCCTCCCAGGAGGACCGCGTCTGCTCCTCGCCCGGCTTCCCTGGCGGGCGCGGCCCACGCGGGCGGGCGGGGGTGTGCACGGTGTGCGGCTGCAGCTGGTCTCGGGGGGCAGACCTCCTGCGCTCCGCCCCGGGGCGCCGTCCGCTGCGGGCCTGCTGTCTGGGGCCTTTCGGACGTTGCGCTTCACGCCGTCTGATGCCCGTCTGCGGAGAGCTTTCGTCACGGAAGGACGTTGGATGTCGTCAGGTGCTTGCCTGCATCTGTCGAGATGGTCACGTGGCTTTCGTCTTTCGCTCGGTCGCAGGATGTGTCACGGTGGTGGATTCGCGGACGCGGCCCAGCCTCGTGCCCCTGGGGCGAACCCCACTCGGCCACGTAGGATCTTTCTAACATACGCTTGAATCTGGTTTGCTAACATTTTGTTGAGAATCGATACACTTGCAACTGTCGAGGATATTGGTCCCTTTTTGTTGTCACAGCCCAGCCTGGCTTGGGTAGCGTGGTGACGCCGGCCTTGTACGATGAGGTTGGAAGGGCTCCCCGTGCTGCATGTGTTTGGAGGAACTGAAGGAGGACTGGTATTGAGTCTTCCTTACACGACCGGCAGAACTCACCAGGAGGCCGCCCGGTCCCGGGCTCCCTCGGTTGGGAGGGTTTCAGGAGTGGCTCAGGCCCCTCCCCACTGAAGGTCCGTTGGCTCGTCCCTGCCCTCATGATGCCGCCCTGCTACGTCGTTTGTTTCTAGGAATGAATCTGTTTTTCCTGGGTTGCCCAGTGTGCCTGCGTCTGTTGCTCACCGTGTCTCCTACGATCCTTCGTGTCTTTGCGGTACTGGTGGTGACGTGTCTTCTTTTGCTTCTGATCTCGCCTGCCCTGTGTTTACCCGTCAGTCCAGACGAACGGCCCACGAGCAGACCCAGGCCCCTCTGCCCCCACCTGCCGCCCGGGGGCGCCCCCCGCACTGCGTCCCCCCACGGGTGCGGGCGCCACAGCCGCCACCAGGGCGTTTTGTCCACGGCCAGATGCCACACGGGTCCGAGGGGGTGCCGCCTGGCGACGCCCGACTCGACCATCTTGCTGAGGCCCTCGGTATTTATTTTATTTTGTAAGACATCGAAGGGTCCTTCCCAAATTCTGCAACGTTCGTGTAGTCAGAATAAAATCCCAACTGTTTTTGGTTTGTTTTTTGGGTGAGAATGGGCAACGCTATATTTGTTTTTTCTCATCTGCCAAATGAGGAGAAAACACCCTCTTGGGTAAGAGAAGCTGAGGAAGGTGCGTCCTGAGGCCGCCCAAGCAGCAGAGCCGGGAGGAGGGGCGGGGCGGGGGCAGCAGGCCCCACGGCGGGAGGAGGGGCGGCCGGCGCCGGGCGGGGGCCTGGGAGTGGCTCCTCAGAGGCCAGTGTCCAGCGTGCACACAGATTTCAGGTGGATTCAAGCTCTAGAAGCTGACAGGTTTTAAAAATACTAGAAGTAGAAAGCTGTTTTTATCGTCTTCGGGTGGGGAAGGGCCTTCTAGGAATCTACTGAAGAAAATTATCTGATTTCGCAAATTAAACATTAAAATCTCTGCACGTCACAAGACATGTGAGCAGACGGAGCAAACACGTGACGCACAGACCAGGGCCCAGAGCCCCCAAGCAGGCAGGGCCGTGAAAGGGCACGAAGGGGGGAAATCAAAGCGGTGAGCGGGGTGGACACGGGTCCCGCCTCGTTCGTGGCCGCACACCGGCGAGCGGCACGAGACCGCGCGGCCGCCCCGGCTGGGCCCAGGCCCAGCGACCCGCCGCGGGGACGGAGCCCCCGGCCGTGCGACGAGGCCACCCCGGGACAGAGCCGGCCGCCGGGCCCCCCCGCAGCCACGCTGGGTCTGGCCCCGGAGGGCGCGTGACCGTGGGCCACGGGCACCAAGGGCCAGGAGTGCGGGGCTGAGCCGGGGCGGGGACCCCCGGGCAGGGTGGCCAGGGGCCTGCCTGCGGTTCAGGGCCCGGCTTCCACCGTGCGTGGCGTGACCTGCCTCCCAGAGCCACACAGCCCAGGGCTCATGCCCGCGCCTGCTGCGTGGCCCCGGGCGAGTTTCTGAACCTCTCTGGGTTCCGCTTCCTGGTGGCAAAGTGGGGCAACAGGGGCCCCGCCCGCGTGTTGTGGGCAGCGCCGTGCGCCCCACGCTGCCTGTCCCTGCACGCTCAGGCCAAGGAGCCCGCACTCTCGTGTACCCCGACTTTCAAGGTCAGAGGACCTGTCTTTCCCCTGGCTCACACCTGCTTGTTAATGAATAGAGCACAGAAAGCAGCCAAGCAGCTCTGCCTGTGGGGCCGCGGGGCCATCGGGGCAGGGGGTCCGGGGACCGCGCAGCCCCGCGCTCCTGGGCGTGGCTCAGCCTCTGCGCTGGGGAGGCGGCTGTAGGAGCAGGCGTGGCCCCCCAGAACACAGGCCAGGCCTGGGGAGCGGCGGCCGCGGGGGGGACGCGTTGCGCTCACAGCTCTCTGGTGCGGCAGGCGCACATCTACTCCCTGGGGGCCACGCTGAAGGCCGCCCTCGAGTACGTGGCGGAGCCGGAGCCCAGGCTGAGCCATGACCTGGAGGCACTGCTGGACCAGATGCAGGCGGAGGACCCTAGGGACCGGCCGGACCTCGAGGTAACGCGGGGGCTGCCCCTCGCTTCCCCCAGGGCTGAGCCCTGACCCCTGCCCTGTGGCCCGATGCCTCGCAGCCGAGGGCACGCACGCTCACACGTGCCCCACACACACGCATGCCGCACGCACACGCACGGGGCCCACCTGTCCCCCTGCCCGGCCCCTCCCTGGGGTTTGACGGCTTCGCATTTTGTGTCAACGATAACTTGGTTTTTTACACGTTTTGCAAAGAAGCTGCGCGGCTTCCAATTCTCATGGGCTAAATAGTCCCGGTTTCCTGTCATCCCGGACGCGTTGCCCTCTTACGCCGGAGACGGGGCGAGGGGGCGGGCCCGTGTGACGCGCGCACGTGTGTGCAGAGCGTCATCGCGCTGTGCGAGGAGAAGATGCAGCTGGCCTCCTCCTGCCGCCTGTGCCGCAGCCTCTCGGCCGCCGGGAGGAGGGTGCTCTCCATCGAGTCCTTCGGGGCGTTCCAAGGTGAGCGCGCCGCGCGCACGCCCACGCCCCCGCGCCTGCACCCACGTGAATGTGCACAAACGTCAACGCCGGTCACTCGCACGGTCACGCACACAAACAGCCGGTGCAAGCGTGGCCACACCTATTTATACCGCACCCTCACCCCCAAGCCCCGCACACCCACGCACACCCAACCCCACTTGCACATGGACACGCGAGAGACTCAGCCTGCAGACGCGGGGCCAGCAGGGCTGAGCGCCGGGGTGGTGCTGAGGAACGGCCGGGCGTGGGGCTGGCGCCCAGCCTGGCCAGGGAGGGGGGCAGCCGCTTCCGCCGTCTCGGAGGGCCCATCACTGCCCCGCGCCACGCCCGCTGCTGCTGCGGCGCCTGGGTTTCCGCAGCTCGCGTGGGGCCGGGCACCTCCGATCACGTTGTGAACAAACGCCAGCCTCTGCCCTGCCCGGGGCCTGCGGGGGGAGGGGCAGTGGGAGGGCGAGGGCTGCCTGTGGCCAGGGCCCGCGAGTGCCAAGCGCAGGAAGGAGTCCCCGCGGGGGGGCCCTGTGCCTGGCGGTTCCCAGGGAGACAGAGCTGCGGAGGCTGCCGCCGGGGCGGGCAGGGCTTCCTGTGGGGAATCGCGCCTGAATCCCCGTGACGGAATGCGATGTGCTTTTTGGCTGAGATGATTAGACGGGGCTGAGGCGCCCCTGCGGGGAGCCGGCCAGGCCCCCGGGGACCGGCTGCCGGTTAATTAGCCGGGATTATGTGATTAACGAGGCGGCGAAGGCGTGTCCTGGGGGGCCAGGTCTTTCAGGAGTCGCTCCAGAGGGAGCCGTGGCTGGTGGGGGCGGGGGCTGAGGGCGGGGGGGCCATCCTGGGCTGCACCCCCCGCCAGAGGTCCAACCCGTCTGCTTCTGTCCAGAGGTCAGCGAGAGTGCCTGGAGGGGGAGACCGGCTCCCAGGGGCCCAGGGCCCAGGAGGCAGCCGGGGGAGCTCAGCCCTGGCCCGGAGGCCCTGCTCACCCCCCAGGGCCGGCCGCAGACCCCGGCCTGCGACCCCCGGGCCCTGCCCTGCAAGCGCCCACTGTCGCCGCCCGTGAGAAACGGAGAGAGCCACCGCCGGGAGGGGCTGGCCAGCCTCATCCTGGAGGCCCAGCGCCCCGCAGAGAGGGGCCGCCTGCGGAAGGTGCAGACGGTCCCCCGGCTGCTGCCCGACGGCCCCGAGGTCAGCGCCCTCGGCCTGCCGCTGACCGGCCTGAAAAACCAGCTGCCCGCGTCTGACTTCTTCCCGCCGGACCTCAGGAAGGCCGTCCCTGAAGGGAAAAACAGCCTTGCCGGCTTCAAGGCCCAGCCCAAGACCAGGCTGCAGCCGGGGCAGGAGCCCGAACCCCAGCAGGAAGGGGCTCGAGGGGCGGGTCCCAGTGGGGACGGGGAGACCGAGGCGCCCGGCCAGGGCCCCGTGACGCAGCGCCGCCCGCCCCACGCTGAGGACACCGAGGATGCAGGCCGGGCCCCGGGGGCCGACGGGAAGGCTGCAGAAAGAGCCGGGGAGCCGGGAGGCGCGGCCGCCGAGCAGGTGGGTGCCGTGTGTTCCGCATGGCGTGTGGCTTGTGGCCGGGAGTCGGCAGTGAGGGGCGGGGACTCTGTCGGAAGCCTGTTCCGGGGGCCGGGGGTCTGCCTAGCGTCCCTGCAGGCACTCGGAGGGGCCCCCTGCGGCCGTGGACGCTGGGCAGAGCCCGGCCGAGCACGCTGTTCTGCTCGGCTCCCAGCAAGTCACTCTCTGAAGCTCCGTGTCCCGTCAGCTCCCGGGACAGAGCCGCCTGGGTGCCGGTGGCCCACACCCGGCGTGTTCAGGGGCAGCCCCTGGCCTGGCCCCGCGGCCCACGGGGCCGCGCCGACAGCTCACTTCCCACAGGCTTCGTCGGCCCACGACGGGGGCAGAGCCCGTGGTTCACATTTTCGCTCATGTCCTGACACGCCTGAGGAGGGTGATTTACACGAACAGTGCGGTGACCGTAAAACAAGGTTGCCCTGGAGGCCCCGCTGCCCGCGCCAGGTGGGGCTCGGCCGCCCGACTCCTGGAGGCCAGGCCCGGGGGGGGGAGAGCCCGCGCCCCCGGCCCCGGAGGCGCTGGCCCCGCTGAGCCCGGCGTCCGCCCGGCGTGTTTTCCGTAGCCGTCCGCCGTCCACGGCCGCTGCCGCGCCACTTCCTGCCTGTTGCCAACGGCAGGAGGGGCGGACGCCCAGGAGCGGGTTGCGGGGCCCCTCGGCGCCCCCCTCTTTCGCACGCCCGGCCCGGGCGCAGGGCCGCGTCTCTGCGCCCCCCGGCACCTGCTGTCTTGACGTGGGGACGCTGTGTCCCAGCTGTCGGGAGGGCCGCGTGGGAGGCCCATCGCGTGTCTGAAGTGGCTCCCGCCTGTCGCTCCCCCAGGGCGTCTCCCTGCAGGACCTGCTGTCCAAGCTGGGCCGGCCCTTCAAGGAGTACGAGCTCTGGGCCCTGGCCCACGCCTGCCTCAGCGCCCTGCGCGCCCCCCGCCAGCACCCAGGTGACGCTTGCTCTGCGGTTCCGCGTCCAGCCCCGCGGGCCGGGGGGACACAGCGTCCCCCGTGGGCCGGGGAGCCCGGGGGCGCCTGCTCCCGCCTCCGGACGGGCGGTCAGGGCAGCAGGCCTCTGAGCAGGGAGGCGCTGTCCCACGGGGGGGACGTGGCCCGGGGGGCTCAGACGTCACTCTGCTTCGCGGCCCCCAGGCCAGTGTGCTGGGCCCGCGCCCTCGGCGGCATCCGCACGTGATGGGGGGGCGACCAACCCAGCCCTCCGGTCCCTCTCGAGTCTCAGGGTCCCAGGTCTTTGGGGTCCCGTCGGGCCCCCAGCCTGCGCAGGGCCCTACTGGGGGTGCCGCGTGTGGGCCGCACCCCCCATTGCCCTCCTCTTCCTTTGGCTCTTCTTTGTTTCCTGCCTCCTGGGCCCAGCAGGCGGCGTGGGGGGGGCGTGGCCCGGGGGCCCTGTCCTGTCCCCTCGCCGTCTGCCTGGCGCCTCCGGGGAATGGAGGTGGCCGGCCAGTGCCCGCTGCTCCACCAGCGAGGGACCCCGTGCCCTTGCGTCCCCAGGGTTGACCCAGGGGCCCTTGGGGTGGCGAGGGGGCTGCCCCCCGACGGCACCGCTGCAGGCCCCGGGGGCGCAGGCCCCTGCAGCGAACCCGCTGCCTGACCCGCCCTCCGCTGCAGCCTGCCTGTGTCCGGACTCCGTGCTGGTGGCCGAGGACGGGGCTGTGCTCTTCGGGGCCCCCGCTGCCGACGGTGGGTCCGCGGGCGAGGGCGCCCCCCGGCCGTGTCCCCGCCTCTGCCGCCGAGCGGAGAGGAGAGCTCAGCTGGGTTTGGGGTTTTCTCTCTCATAGGCACATCCAACTCCTTCTTCCTGGCCCCTGAGGTTGCAGAGCAGAAGCTGGTGACTGAAAAGGTACCCGGCCCCCCATCCCTTCCAGCCCCCCCGCCCCGTCCCACCCGGCCCCCCATCCCTTCCCGCCCCCCCGCCCCGTCGCACCCGGCCCCCCACCCCACCGGCGATGCCACCCCCTTTTGTCCAGAGTGCCTGAGGGGAGCAAGGGGCCAGCTCGGGCAGCCCCGTGCAGCACGTGGGTCCAAACCCCCGCTCAGCCTGACCAGGGCAGCGCCCCCCCGGCCGGCCTGGCTCTGGCCGTGCACCCTGAGGGCCCCGGGCACAGGCCCCCTGCCACGCCCCCACTCGCCTGGTGCTGTCCAGCAGGCATGTGGGAAGGGCAGGAGAACAGCCCCAGGGCCCGGGAGGAGGAAACAATGCTGTTGGCAGGGGGCAATTTTCTACATAGGAAAGCCCTAGGTACCCCAAGGAAGCTACCAAGAAACTCCTAGAACTTGGAAGTGAGTTCTGAAAGGCCACAGGGTGTATGATAAACATTCAGAAGGATCCGTTGTAGTTCCAAACATCAGCAGTGAACGTGTGAACACCAAAATTCAAACTATATTACGTTTAACATCACTCTAAAACATGAAATACGTAGACGTAGGTCTAACAAAGCAGGTACAGGACCTATGACGGAAACTACAACATGCTGATGAAAGACACTAAAGAGAACCTTTGGGACGGAGGGCCGGGCAGAGGCCTTGGGCGTGACTCCAGAAACACAGTCCATAAATTCACCCACAAGAGGATACACAGATAAATGCACTTCAGCAAAGTTCAAGGCCGGCCGCATGGGGTTCATTCCACGTACGGAAGGCTGGCTCGGCAGCCGAAAGTCTGCGCGTCAGCCATCACATCGGCCGACCAACGGAGAACCGTATGTTTACATCAGTAGATGCCTGCAGCTCGACAAAATCCATTACCCGTTCACGATAAAAACTCAGCAAACCAGGAATCGGGGAGAGCATCCTCACCTGGATAAAGAACACCTATGAAAACCTCCGGAAAATGATTCGCGGTGAGAAATGAGGGGTTTCCCCCACAGGCCGGGGAAAGGTGGGGGGCTCCCTCCCACGATGTGCTGGGCGTCCTGGCAAACCGAGCAGGTCAGGAACAGGAAGTGAGCGGCCCGCAGACCGGAAAGGAAGGAAGAAAACAGGCTCTCTTCACCGGTGGCAAGGCTGTCTCCAGAAAAATCCCGGAGAATCAACAGAAACCCTGGAGCTCCTGAGCAATCGCAGCGAAGCCCCGCGGTGCAAGGGCAACACGCAGAAGTCAACACCCTCCTACACACCCACCGAGAACAGGTAGGGTTTGAAATTAGAACCCATACCGTTTACGTTGGCACCCCAAAACTCACCGTGTAAGCCTAACAAAACACGTACAAGGTCTGCATGAGAGAAGCTACAAGATTCCGATTAAAAAAAACACACAAAGATCAAAATAAACGGAGATACATGTTCCATGTTCACGGACAGGGAGACTCAACATGGTCAAGAGGTCAGTTCCTCCCGACTTGACCTGCAGATTCAGCTGCAGCCCAATCACAATCCCAGCACGTTATTTTGTGGGCGCTGACAGACTGACCCCGAAGGTGCACGGAGGCAGAACCCCCAGGGCAGCCGACTCTGCGGAAGGAGAAGAGCGAAGTCGCAGGGCTCAGCCCCCACCTCGGGTCTCGCCGTGAAGCCACGGTGATCGGGACAGTGTGGCCGTGGCAACGGACTGGACAACAAGGCCTGTGGGACAAAGGAGAAAGTCCAGAAATAGACCCGCACGCGCACCGTCAGCTGTGATCTTCGACAAGGGGGCGGCGGCAACGCAACGGACGGACGCAGCCTCTTGGAGAAGCGCTGCTGGGGCAGCGGGACGTCCCCGCGCGGAAGGAACAGTCTGTACACGGGCCTTCCCCCTCCACAAAAACGGACTCGAAACTGATCACAGTCCTACATGTGAAGTGCAAGACTCTGAAAGCCCTGGGCCGTGAGCGTGTCCCGGCCACGCTGGAAGCGAGGTCCGCGCGCACTGCTGCCGACGGACGGTGCTGTCAGGACACGGAGAAGACAGGAGGCCACGGACCGGGGGCAGCACTCGCAAACACGCCTCTCAACGTGCCCGTGTCCCAGACCTACGAAGGACCCTTACGGGTCAACAGTAAGGAAACAAACGACCCAGGGAAAGGGACGGAAGTTCTGCAGAGACACCTCACCTGAGAAGCGGCCACGCGGCGGGGGAGCCTCTGGAGGTGCCCAGCGCCTCGGGGCCGCCAGGAAGCGCCCACCAGCAAGGCGCCCACCAGCGAGGCGCCCGGGCGCTGCTGTCAGGCCGCCGAAGACCCAGGCCCGCAGAGCCCCGGAGGCCGGCGAGGACGCGGGGCGGCCGGACCCGCCCTCAGCGCTGCGGGGAGCGACCGCGCGGCAGCCCGTGGGGACATTGGCTGGCGTCTCACAATACGGAGGCGGCGAGGGCCACACAGGCAGCAGACCTTCGTGCTCGAGAGGCGTCCGCGCAGCGCCCTGCCGGTGCCCGGTGCCCGGTGAGAGCAGCTCCGCCTGTGCGAACCCCCGAGAATCGATCGCTGTGTGGAACTTACAGAAAAGGCAGACGATACCCTTTGTTAATTTTAAACTGTGTGCGACACGTCCTTTTGGCTTAGGAGCGTATCGGGCGGCCTGGGTCTGCCAGGCCCCATAGGCCTCAGGGCACCCCTCCGTGGCCCGCCCCGCACGCCGTGTGTGCGCCCGCCACCCGCGTGCCCCCCGGAACCACTGCACGCTGGGAGTTTCGGTCCCGCAGATGAGTGAGATCATGCGGCTTAGCTTTTCCTGCTGACTTCCTCCACGTAGCATGACGTCCTCGCGAGCCCTCCACGTGGCCGCAAAGGGCAGCGCGTCGTCCCTGCTCACGGCCGAGTGGGGGTCATGGCGTGCACTCGCCGCAGCGTCTGCGCCCAGCCCTCTGCCGGAGGCGCCGCGGTGCCTCCACGTCTCGGCCGCCGTGAATGCCGCCGCCCTGAGCATCAGGGTGCGTGTGTCTTTGCGAATAACCTGTGTGCCCCCTGCTCGACACCAGCGCATTCAGAGCAGACTCACGTGTGCAGCCGAGCGTTTGTGTTCAGAGAGCTGGTGTTACCCGCTTGGCAGCACAGCCCCGGGTCGGGCTCGTGGCCTCGGGCGCCGACTGGCCGGCTCGCCCCGGGTGTCAGGGGCCGTGGGCGCCTGTCCAGCACGGCCCTGGGCCCGGGAGGCTCCGGGCCCCAAGGAGGCGCCTCTGGGCCCCAGCTAGGGCAGCTCGGTGGGGACGGGGTCGGGGACAGTCTGCTGAGCATGGCCGGCGTCTCCCCTCCCCAGGCCTCGGTGTACTGTGTGGCCGCAGTGCTGTGGACAGCGGCCAAGTTCAGTGTCCCCCGCGACCACAAGCTGGCCCTGCCACGCAGGCTCAAGACCCTCCTGCTGGAAATGGCCAGGCGCAGCGCCCAGGAGCGGCCGTCGGTGGCCGAGGCCATCAAGGTATGTGCTTGGGCCCTGCAGGCTGGAGGGCCGGGCAGTGCCCACAGGGAAGGGGGGGTGGGCGCGGCTTCCAGGAAAAGTGAGGGTTGGGCCGGGAGGGCATGGGCTTCCTCTGTGGAGGGCCCGCCCCCCCAACATCCCCCTCAGAGAGTGGGCAGGGGCTGCCCTGGGGCCAGCCTGGACCCCGGTCTCAGGCCCCTCCGGGGAGGAGCCAAGCACCCTGCACCTGACTCCCGCATGCCCCCAAGTCCTTCCCTCCTCGCCCTGTGCAGGCTGGGGGTGGGGCCGCAGGACCGGGTCCTGACCCTCCTTCCAAGTGACAAGTGCAGGGGCGGCGTGGTGGTTTCCCTGACCCAGAGCTGCGGGACCCCTGGGGGAGGAGCCACGTGTGGACCGGGAGAGGGGCCGGCTCTGGGGCTGCAGCCTGGGCTCAGGGACCGTCTGCCTCCCGGTCGCGAGCGTTTGAGCTCATGGGGCGCGTAGCTGAATGAAGGGGAAGCGTCTCGTCCTGCAGAGACTCAGGACAAGGGACAGACACTCGCTGAGTGCCTGGGACTGGGGCCACGCCAGCATTTGCCCCACGAGGACCTCTGCCCGTCCCAGTCCCTCGGGCTTGGCTCGCCCGCGTCAAGCCCCCTTTCCTGTAGTTACCAGGGCCCCATTCCCTTCCAGGCTGAGCTCGGGGCGGTGGGTTGGGGGGTGCGAGCTCGGTGCTTCGGCCCCCCTGGCGATGGTTCTGCAACCTCGCCCTTTCTCGCCGTTTCTCAAGGGGCATTGGGGCAGCCGTGTGTCCCTGAACCCCTGCCTCAGCACCGACGTCCGCTGCCCCCCTGTGTGGGGCGATTCTCTGCAGGGCAGCGTGGGGCGAGGCCGCAGCCCCTCCTGTCCAGTTTTCACTCCGCTGAGGCCGTGCCGGGAGGACAGTGACCGCGCTAGGTTTGCGGGGGCCGACGCCGCCCCGGGCGGCCGGACTTCCCGTGGAGAAGCTGCGGGTGCCCCACGTGCGCCGGTGGGCTCCTGCCTGCCTGCCTGGCCTGGCGTGGGGCCGGTGGCTGTGCCGCCTGCCTCGCCGCGCGCTGGACGTGTGGCCTGTGTCCTTGCTTCCAGGTGTGTGGCAGTTACCTCCTTCAGCGAGGAATGGACAGCAGGAAGATTCTAGCCCACCTGAGGGCGTCGACCTGCAAGGTGCGGCGGCCACGTCCACGGCGCAGGCACGAGCCCCCGGACGTCCTGGGGCCCCGGGGAGGGAGGTCTCGTTCCACCGTTTATTGTGCGGAGGGGGGTGACTCCGACGTGACGTTCTCCTCAGCCTTCCCGTCGTCGTGAGCGGCAGCCCCACGCCCTGGCCCTGCTGACCCAGGGCTGGGCAGGGGCACCCCCGGAGTCCTGCCCTCCGACCCTCCGGTAGCCGCGTCGCTTACACACGCTCCTGTCGGCTTCCTGGGCAGCGGCCCGGGCGGCCACGCAGGGGCCCCCGTTCAGCAGACAGGCACGCTCCGCCCACCAGGGCCTCCGAGGGTGCCTACTCCCCGCGCCCTAGAAACCTGCCAAACTTTGCTGAACTGGGGCGCAAGGGCTCCCGCCCCGAGGAGAAGCAGGCCGGGCTCTGAGACTCGGCCGCGGCCGAGCGTGCTGGGCCTCTGGCGTCACCGCCCCGCGCGCTGTGTCCTTCTGTCCCAGGTCGACCAGGAGGAGGAGACCATCAGCCTCCAAAACGCATTTCCGGCGCTGGAACTGACCCCCGGCACAGCGCCCAACCCCAGGCCCAGCTCAGGTGGGTGCCCTGGGGCCGCCCACCCCACCCCGGGGCCCTGCTGTCCGCCAGCGCGGGACACTGCACCTGCGCGCTGCGGGGACCCCGACCAGCCCACTCCCCCTCGGCCCCCAGTTCTCCCCCTTGTCACCAGCCGCCAGAGCAGCGGCCCCGCCCCCCACCCCCCACCCCCGACGTCCTCACGGCCGCTCCTAGTTCTCGTCCTGCCCCGTGTCCCCTCCTCGGAGCCGACTGTGCCGTCTCCGCGGCGCCCGCCCATGGGGGTTTCCGCCGCTCCAGCCCTCCCCCGCAGCGCCAGCGGCCCTGGCTTGGCCGCTCTCCACCGCGTCTCCTTTCCCCGGGGGCCGGGACGCCCGGGCGCCCTCGGAGACACGCGGAAGGGGCCCAGCGCCCCCTCGTGGCCGGAGGAATCACCGCAGCCTGGCCCGGAGGCCCCGGCCCCGCCCCCCGCCTCCGTGCGCTCACCCCAAGTTTGTCCCAGGCGCCGTGCAGGTTGGCAGCGACGCCAGACTCACGGCCGTGCAGGGGCCTGTGCCCGCCCTGCCCGCCGGCCGCGAGGGGCCCGTGGAGCTGCCCGTGGCTTTCGCCTCCCCAGCCACGCCCTTCAGGCCCATCGTCCTCGCGCCAGGAGCCGGTGTGGCCAGGTGAGCGGCAGGTGTGGCCGGGAGCCGGATGCGTCCGGGAGCCCCTCCTGAGCGCCCCTCTGCTCACAGGGACGCGCCTGCCGGGTCCTCAGGGCCGGCAGAGGGGCCAGAGCCGACGAAAGGCAGGCGAGATGTGGACGGGGACGTGGACGGGAAGAAGGCTCCTGAGGGCCAGGCCGTGGCCACCAGCTTGGAGACGCCTGACCAGCTGGCGCCTGGTCCCGGGTCAGGGGGCCCAGCCCCAGGACCCTCCGGAGCATTGGTGCCAAGGGGGTTGGCCTCGGGGGGCGCCTGCCCCCCAGCTCCTGCCTCATCAGTGATGCCCCCATCCTCTGCCCCAGCCCCACCCCCAAAGGCGCAGGAGCCGGTCGCACCTGGACAATCTTCCAGTGGCCTCGGGCCCCGCACCCCAGGGCCCGCCGCAGCCCCCCAGGGCCCGCTCCCCCCAGCCAAGCCACCCAGGAGCAGGGCCGCCAAGGGCCCCAGCCAGGAGCCCCAGGGCCCCCCGTCCATCCCCCTCAGCCCCTCCCGGGCCGACATGAGTCCAGGCGGCCCCAGGGGCGCCCCAGACAGTCTCCCCGAGCGACCCCGGCCGGCAGACCGCAAGCTGCGTCCACCAGGGGCGGACGCCTCGCCCGCCCCGAAGAGCGTGGCCTGCCCATCCCTGCAGGAGGCCACGCGCCTCATCCAGGAGGAGTTCGCCTTCGATGGCTACCTGGGCAACGGGCTGGAGGCGCTGATCATGGGTACCGCGCCCGGGACGCGGGGCGGGGGGCCACGCAAGGGGCTTCAGTCGCCACAGAGGGGCCGGCTCCCCCGTCCGCAGCAGGCGACAGCGCCGGGCCCCCCAGGGACCGCTGGCAGCCGAGAGGGCCCCCGCGCCCAGCTGCCCGCCCCCGGCCAGCCTGGTTCTGCAGAAGGCGGGGCCGGAGGCAGCCCCCCACGTTGTAACTCGCCCGTCCCTGTGCACCCAGGGGAGTACATCCACGCCCTGAGGGACCTCACCTACGCCACCTTCTGCGGGGCTGTCGCCGAGAAGTTCTGTGACCTCTACTGGGGGGAGAGGCTGCTGCAGAGTCTTTTCCAAGTGGTGAACGGGCCGGCGCCGCCCCCCAAGGGGTGAGCGCCCTCCTGGGCCCCTGGGGCCGACCCGCGGTGCGCCAGCCACACTCCCCTCCCGCCCGGCATGCACCTCCCCGCCCAGGGCCCCTCTCCTGGGGGCACCCACCGTGTGCCCAGCCCCTGCTCCAGCACCTGGCCCCTTCAGGGAGGGAGAGGGGGCCTGCGGGGCCCCAAGGGGCAGGAGGGAAACCTCTGACTGGCTGCAGGAGGCCGATGACCAGGACCCCAGAGGGAGGCTCCTTCAGGGAACAGCGTCTGCCCCCCGCCCCCTGCCCCCTCCACAAGCACTTGGTGAGGTGCGTGCGCTGTGCGCTGCATCCCCAGACCGCGCGCTTTTGTGGCACTGGGACAGACGTCTGGGACCAGACCTGGAGGCACAGGGAGCCTCTGCCTAAGGGCCCGTGTGCCCTGCCAGGGGGGCCCGCGGCGGCCAGTCGGGTCATTGCTGGAAGCGTGGGCGTGGGCGGGGCAGCTGCTTCAGAGCCCGCGCAGTGGCCCCCCTGGTCACACTGCGCAGTCACGGTGCAGGGGGCGCCTGGCACGCGGGGGGTCCCTTCGGAAGGCGGTGCAGAGGGGACCTGTGGAGTTGGGGGCGGTATGGGGACGGGCCCCGGAGCTGCGCGTCCTCCTCTCTGGTGGCAGCGCTTCGGAGGAGGCAGCATCACAGCCCGAGGCCAGCGGCCGGGCCGGCACACCCAGCGGCTGCTCGCCCTCCAGCCACCGGCCCGCGCTGCAGGAAGCAGGTACGGGGGGGGGGGGGTGCCAGGGGCGGGGGGCTTCCCACGGCAGGTTTCTCTTGGCCCCTCTGTCCACCTCCCTGGCGTCCACACTGTGAGGGGTGTGTCCCGCGGGCACCCAGGTGACCTTGGGGCCCCTCACCTGCTCTGACCTTCCCTCCACAGACAGACAGACAGGCTCTATTGTGTCTGTCTGTTTGCACGCAAGCCAAGGTTCCTGTGTATTTAAGACCCTGTCCCAGACCCCGTGGACCCTCTAGAGCAGACGCGGGGCCACCGGGCCACCCCAAAGGGCCTCGCGTCCCCAACTGCGTGCACGCAGCCTCTCTGTAAACGGCTCACAGCGGACTCCCTGCGTGACCTGCGGCCGCTGCCCCCGACCCTCTTTCCTCTCTCCAGGGGAGGACACGCCGGCCACTCGCGGCAGCAGGCCCCTGTGCCCGCCCCCCTCGCTGTCCGAGGTTGACTCAGACGAGCTGTCCCGAGGGAACTTGGAGGTGGGATTCCGGCCTCAGACGTCAGTGAAAGCCGAGAGGGAGCACCTGCCCGAGGCCGGAGAGGACCGGCGGCCGGTGGTGGGCGCAGAGCCGGCCAGAGGGGCCTCGGACGTGGAGGCCATGGCGCGGCTGGCCGGGCCCGAGAAGGGGGGCCCGGCTATGAGCCCAGGCCCGGCCGAGTTCCAGAGCTGCAGCCCCGGCTGGAGCAGCGCCTTCTACGAGGCCGACTGCTTCGGCACCGACATCCACAACTACGTGAGGGAGCTGGGCGGGCGGAAGGCCGGCGGGGCCCCCGACGCCTCCAGTCTGGTGAGTGCTGGGCCTCCGTCCTCTGCGGGGGGGCCCTGGCCCAGCGGGTCCCAGCCTCACAGGGCACGGGGCCCCTCCCTGGGCACCCCACTCCTGGTGCCCTGCCCCCCCGTGCCCCCCACGCTGGCCAGGGCACCGTCCCTGGACTCGTCGGCACATGCCCTCCCCGTTATCAGGCAGGAAATGGCTCTTCCGTCCCCGCCAGCAGAACGCGTGGTCGCCAGGAGACAGCTGGCAGGCGGCCGCCCCCCACCTGGCAAGCTCGGGTGGCTCTGGCTCTGGCTCTGGCAGGTGCAGCCCCCTTGCCCGGTCGGCCCTCGGGGCTCTGGGCCCTGGGCAGCATGCCTTTGAGAAGCACCTGCTGTGGCGGTCAGTTCAGCCAGGCCCGCGCCCACCTGGCCGGGCCCCGTAGTCCCCGGGCGGCGGACAGGAGGGAGCCGGTCCGCCGTCCGGCCTCTGGGCCGCCAGCCAAGCAAACGCGCCTCCCGGCCTGCGGCGCCTTCCGGGCTTCCCCGGTGCTTCTCCCGTCCGCTGCCCGCCCTGCCTGTCACTCAACCCCAGCCCGGAAGAGACCCAGGCCCTGCTCCGCTCTCGCATGTCACGTGTTCGCGGGGCGGGGCTCCAGGCTGCGTGGGAGGCGGGGCCCCAGCCTGCGGGTCGCGGCCCTCGAGACCGCGGGCCCGGCGGCGTGTGCGGGGCGCGGGGTGGGGAACTGGGGCCTCCCGCGGGGCCCTGGGGAGGAAGGCGGCCTGGCCCCCGTGCTGGGTGCCCCGGGCAGGGGTGCGGCGTACAGAGCCCCCGAGACCCGAGGTTACTGTGCTGGAGTCCGGAGCTCAGCCCGGGGGCGGCGGGGACGCTCCCGGCTGGACACGTTCCGCTTCCTCCCGCTCGCTGGCGCCCACTCCCGCGCTCTCACTGCCACCTGCTCGGAACCGCCGGGTGTCCTCGTCTGGTGTGGCCTTTCCCAGGAGCGGGAAACAGCCGACTGCGAGCGGCAGAGGCCAGCGCAGCAGGCGGCACTGCCGCCTCCCGCCACGGGAGAGCTGAGGCTCGGGAGGGTGAGGGGCAGAGGGGGGCACAGGTGGCAGCTGCCGCGCGTGACGTCCAGGGCGAGCGGGCCTGGTGACCGACGCGAGTCACACCCTCCCCGGACGGGGCTGTCCTTACGCTGGAGGGTCCCCGGGGGCCGTGGGCAGCAACTGTTCCAGGCGCTGACGCAAGGCGGTGGAGGACCAGCGGTTTGCCTAACCGCACACCCACGTGTCCTAGTTCATTTGGCCCACGGCCCAGAAGCAGCGACGGCCTAGCAGCCGCCGCCGGGGCCGGGTCTGGCCAGGCACAGCGGCCTCCAGTCAAAGGAGCCAGGCCCCTCGGAGAGCGGCAGATCTGGGGCTGCCCTGGGAAGCCGCCAGGCGAGCCGGAGCATGAGAGGTCTCGCGGCCACCGAGGAGCCCCCAGTGGCCACAGCTGCAGTGCTTGACCAGCAGAAGACATGCCGCAGCACTGGAGTCTAACCCAGTGTATGAAACCGGTGTCCGGGCGCCGCACAGATGCAGGCAATTGAAGTAAAACGGGACAGGTGCCCAGGGACCGTGTACAGAAAGATGAAAACCCATCCCAGCGTTCATGATGAATCTCAGGGAACCCCGAATAACCCAACAGCCGTGGGGCAGAATGGGGTCAGAGGGCGCAGGCTCCCAGCGCCAACGTTGGCCCGGAGCTGCTGCAGCCGAGCCCGGGCGGCACTGGCCCGGCGTCGACACGGGCCGAGGGTCGGACAGGGAGCTCGGAAACAAGCCCCCGCGGCTGTGGCCAGACTAGGCGGCCACAACTGCCGGCCGGGGCGGGGGCGCGGGCGCGGGCGCGCCACTCCCCACAGCAGAGCTGGGAGAACCGGACGCCGACACGCAGAAATTAGCCAAAAAATCAGAGGCCTGTGCACAAGGGCTGAAACTTTAAAACTCTCGGAAGAAAACGGGGAAGGTTCACGACGCCGGATTGGCACTGATTTCTGGCGTTTGACAGACACACAGGCAACAGGAGTAAAAACACGCGGGACTTCACTGACTTGCAGAGCGTCTGTGCGCGGAAGGACGGGTGGGCGGAAGCATCTGCAAGTCACGTATCTGATCAGCATTTAATACGAAACATGCCCACGGCTCCCAGACTCAGCGGCAGCAAAACAGACGCCCAGGCGAAAACACGAGGAAAGGACCTCAGCAGACGTTCCCGCAAAGGAAACACACAAATGGCTAAACCGCACATGAACACATGCTCCACCGTGTGTCATTAGGGAAGAAAAGCACATCGAAACCGCGAGACGCCACTTTGTCCCCACTCTGGTGGCTCGTATAAAAATTAAAATTTCCAGAAGGACAATGGCAGGTGTCAGCAAGGACGTGGAGGGATGGGAACCATGCGCGCTCTGGCGGGAGGGAAAGCTGGGGCAGCTGCCGCTGCTGGGCAGAGACCGGAAGGCCTGAGGGCGGGGACACCCACAGGCACCGCCCCTGCGTTTACAGCAGCACTGGTTTAGGTCGCCCAAAGGTCAAGCAGCCCGGGGGTGCAAGGATAAGCCAGGTGTGGTCCCCCCACCCCATGGCATATCGCTCGACCCTCAGACCACACGGCAGGAATCCCTGACCCCTGCTGCTGCCGGAGGGGCCCAGGGGCCGTGGGCTCAGGGAGCTGGCAGAGGACGCGGGCTGGGTGGGCCCACGCCCCGAGGCCCCTGGAGGTGCCAGGGCCCCAGAGGCAGAGGCGGGAGGGAGGCAGGGGCAGTGAGTGTCTGGGGAGACGAGGAAGCTCTGGGGGTGGGAGTGGGGGCGGTGGCGGCTGCACCACTCTGTGTACCTGACGCCACCAAACCGCAGGACAGAAAGTGGTTAAAACCGTCAACTTTATATCCTGTATATTTTGTCACTGTACAAAAAGCCCAGAAAAAACACTTTTCAGTGAGTGGAGGAACAACAAGGGGCAGACAAGGGCTGCCCTGTGGCCGGAGGCCGGGGCCGGGCGCCGTGCCCTCGGCTCCGAGCCTGGGTGCCCCACCCCCCCCGCACTGCTGTGCTGCCACACGGACTGCAGCTGCCCGCGGAGACGGAGCCCTGCTGACCGGGGCCGGGAGAGGGGGCGGGGTGCCCGCCGCCGACAGGAACCACAGGGAAGGGCGGGGCGCCGAGCGGCCAGGCCACGGCCAGGGTCGGCCTTGCTGGGGCGCTCACGTCTGTGTGGGCAGCGTGGGGACAGGGGTGCCCTTGGGTTCCCTGCCGGCTGCCTGGTCTGGGCGGATGGGCCTCCCCAACCTGTGTCCTCCCGGGGCGCCCGGCACCCCTGCCTGTCCCTCAGACTGTTCCTGAACATGGACTGAGGCCAGCCCGGGTCAAGGACTCTGCTGCGGTCACGTCTGCTCCTCCTGGGCGTGAGCCTGGGGCCAGGACCCCGGGGCCTCCGGTCTCTGAAACGCCACCCTAGACAAGCCGGCCCGGGGAGCCGCGCTGAGCCCGACTTCCCTGCGGGTGGTCCTGGTGGGGACAGTGTGCAGGAGGCGGGCAATTTGGGGGAAACGCCGGGGGGGGGGGTGGGGCGCAGACAGCCAGCAGTGACTTCTTGTCCCCTTTTTCTTGCTCACCTGGGAAGATGTCTCTCCTGGAACCTGAGTGCAGGCAGGTGAGTTTCCTGGGCCCTCTGCCTCGGGCGTGGGCTGGGAGGCCACCAGCCAGGGCCCGTTCCACGTTTCTCCTTGGGAACCTGCTGCGTGGGCTTCACAGCACAAAGGGTGTAAAACACCAGTGGGCGCGTTTCTCATTCACAGCCCCAAACAGCACGTGCAGAACCGGCCCAGGCACGGGGCGGGGGGGGGGGTGGCGGGGCGCGGGGGGCGCCGAGGGTGCGCGCGTGCTGGTCTTCCCATGTGGGCTGAGGCGTGCCTGCTGGGGCCGCGGCCGTGTCTCCTGGTGCCCAGCCACACGGACGCCTGGTTGCCTTCGCCCACCGTTGGGCTCTGTGTCCAGCGGCTGGGTGAGCGCACCCCGCTTTGGGCCTCCCTCCCCCTCTGACTCCTGGCTCTGCCGGCTCCCTTCCTGCTTGTTCTCCTCGCTCCTCAACAACCGGGCTCCCCCGGGTCCCCGTGGCACCTGCCACCGCAGGGCCTAGACGGCGCCTCAGATCGCTCGCGTTTATTTCTCTACCAAAGTAACGCTCGTTCGTTTCTGTGAAGTTCTGGTTGGGTCAGGCCAGGGAAAGGCCTCAACTCAGGTGACCGCAGTCACTGCACGGGGACCCCAGCGGGCCGTGTCACCTGCAGCTGAGTTCCCTGCACTTCAGCTGCCGCGTGGCCACCGAGGTGACGCCCAGCGCGAGGATTTGCTTCCCTGTCATCCCAGGTGGTGTGTGAATTTTAATCCACGTGGGTTTATCTTTAAAATCCGTGAAAACAGCCCTTCTCAATGGCTCAGATAACATGCAAAGTGCTGCTGACAAACCTCGCGCAATAGAAACCGAGGTTCCTGAGACACGGACAGCAAGTCTGCAGAACGGCAGCCACGTCCGTGGCCTGCGTCCACAGACCCGCTCCCGGGGGCTGTCACCCTCAGCGTCTGGACAGAGGACAAGGGGACAGTGGGCTGGCCACAGCCTTGCACAGAGGGACCGCCCCAGCCGCCCCGGAGGGAGGCGCGTCCTGGAACGCGGGGCTCCAGCTGTCCTGCGCTCGGGCTGGGAACACCAGCCGGGGTCTCAGCGGTGCGGGGGCGGGCCCCGCGGGCAGGCCTCGCTGGGCCCAGACGTGCAGACGGGGGCGGAGGGGTCCACTACAAACACAGCTCCTTGGGCCGCCTGCGTGTCTCGGCCACGCCATCGGGCAGGGCGTCCCTCGCTGGAACGTCCAGGGTCTCCCGAGCACTTGCAGTGCGGCCCCACAGCGGAGGCACTGACGTTCTCTTTTGTTCAACACTGGAGAGGGCGCCGCGACCCGTGGCCTCCGCGCCGGGGCACAGGCCTGGCGCACAAAGCGCTTGGTGTCGTCCCTGCAAGAGGGACAGGTGTCAGGGTCGCCAGCTGTCAAGTGCGGGAGGCGGCCTGGAGCCCAGGCTGAGCAACATCCAAGCCCAAGCCCTCCTCGGAGGCGCTGTCCCCAGAAACGAAGCCCACTGCGCGAGCGCCCGCCGCCCGTGGACGTCTCTCTGGGGGCCCCGTCGGCTCCCTCCACGGACGTTTCCATGGGGAGGGCCCGGTGTGGCAGCTTCCCCTGCGGCTGGCACCCGGCTGAGCTGCGGAAGGATCCGGAGGCCTCAGGGATCTGCACTAACAGCTAGAGGGGCGCATGCTCCGCCCAGGCCGCGGGCTCTGACCGGCGGTCCTCTGGAGGGGTCTGTCTACGGCCCCGTCGTTAAGAGCAGCGTGTGGGCGGAGGCAGCCCCGGGCCGAGCCGGTTAGAGAGCACAGGTAGGGGGCGTTCGCACATCTGAGCAAGCGCCACCGCACCGTCCCGCCCAGGAGTTGCCCAGGGACGCGCTCACAGCTGTAGATGAGGAGGCCGGGGAGCCTCTTCGCATTGGAGCTCCTTACACTCCCCACAGTGACCACCTGGACGCGTCTGTCCTCAGGTGAGCACACCTGCGTGAGGGGCGTTCAGGACCGGGGCCCCGAGCCCAGCTTGCAGGAGGCAGTTCCCCCAGGAGTCTGAAGGCCCCTGGGCCTGAGCGGGCGCCTGCCCGCCCCGCCCCCTGCCCCGCCCCTCGCCGCGGCCCCGCCCCCTGCAGGAAGAGCGAGCCGCCCGGCCCGGGGTGCGCAAGGGCTGCTTGGTCAGACTCAGGGTCTAACCTCCTCCTCCGCCCGGGCCTTGGGGCCCGGAGACCGCCGTGGCGACACTGCCTCTCGCTTGAAAGGAGAGGCTGTGACTGGACTCTGGTCACTTTGGACGTTCGGTGCCTGGAACTGGCCCTGCGCTCGGGCTGCCCCCCCCCCGACGCTGTGTGAGGGGCACCGGGACTGTGTCCACGGGACAGTGGAGACCGTGGAAGGGGCCGTCCCCACCGGACGAGCCTGTGGCTCCTCATGGGGGGATGGGCACCCCGTCCCCGAAGATAAAAATTCCCCAGGAGAGAGCCTGTCCGACGCACTGCTGGGAACGTGGTGGAAGCCCCGCTCTGCCCCCGGCTCTGCGGGCAGTGGGCGTGGCCGCGCGCCGTGCGGCTGGGTGTGTTCAAGGTCCACGTTAAAAGCGGGGCCTCGGAAGGCACCCAGTAGCCACCCTGGGGAGGTCGCACCCCCTGGTGGCTGCAGCACACGGCGGTTTGAGGGGAGGTGGCCAGGCCAGCCCGGTGGGGCTGGGAAGGGGGGACCTCGTTCCACGAGCCTGGGTTTGCTGGGAAGCAAGACCCTGAGCAGGAGTGGGGCCTCGGTGGGTTCCCCTCGAGCGCCGGGACCGTGGGGGGGCCTGGCCCAGCAGCACGTGTCGGGTGGGGACAGTCGCCGCTTGCCAGGCGAGCCCCGGCCCTGTGGCTGATCCCAGGACCACAGGCCTGAAGGAGGCTGGTCTCTGCACTGAGTATGATGTCTACTGTAGAACTCTCCGGAAGGGCAAGCTCCTGGGGGACAGGGCTGGGTCCCCGTAGGCAGGGGCAGTTCTGAGCATCGGGTGCTGACCCCACCCCTCATCTGCCCACCAGCCCGTCCTGGGGACTGGGGATTCTGGGGGGACAGATAACAGAGGGTAACTGCCCACCTTGACCTCCTGCTGGGCCAGTGGCATCTGCTTGGCAAGGGCCAGTGTCCTGAAATGACCCCCTGCTCACAGGCACCTTGGCTCAGCGTCCCCAGGGGCCAGGGGGCTCCGATCCCCACTTCCACGTGGGCCCTGCTGCCTGAGCTGCCCCCAGGGCCTGGCCGTGAGCTGCAGGCGCCCGCGTGCGGTGGGTCTCCCGTGCTTTCGTTTCGCGGGGGTCCTGCGGGCATGGGAGCTCCGGGACCGCAGAGGGGAGCACGTGTGTCCGAGGGGGCTGAGGCCACGCGGCCCTGCCCTGCCCTGCTCTGCCCTGCCCACCAGCTCTGTCCTCCTCAGGAGCTCGAGCAGCAGCTCATGATGGAGCAGAGGACCTACCGGAAGACCCTCAAGTTCTACCAGAAGCTCTTACAGAAGGAGAAGCGGAGTAAAGGTAGGGCCGAGCCTGCTCGGGGTCGCCCGGGGCCCTGGGGGCGAGGCCTCGGGGTGCTGACAGCGCCCGCCGCCGCCCCCCCAGGCTCCGAGGTGAGGATGATGCTGTCCAAACTGAAGGGGCAGCTGGAGGAAACGACATCCAAGGTGCAGTTCCTCGGGCTGGTCAAGAAGTACCTCCAGGCGAGTAGCCCTCCTCCCGCCAAGCGCCCCACCCCCAGCCGTAGGTCTCCTGCAGCGAGAATCCCTCGTGCGGACGACCGCTGACCCCATGGGGCCACACGCCGGGCTGTGCTGGGCCCAGGGTGGGGGCCGGCCGACTGGGCACCCCCCCCACAGCTCCCCTGCGGGTGTGGCTCAGCCAGACAGCGCCGCCCCCTCGGCCCCCAGGTCCTGCACGCGGAGCAGTGGGGCCTGGAGCCCTGCGCCCTGCCCCTGCTGGTGAACGTGGCCGCGGCCCACTGCGGTGCGCCCGACTTCAGCCCCCTGGACGAGTCCTCCTCCCTCATCTTCTACAACGTCAGCAAGCACCCGCGCGGCGGCAGGCAGCGCAAGGCCCGCGTCCTGCAGGCAGGCACCCCGCTGGGGCTCATGGCCTACCTCTACTCCAGGTGTGGCTGCCGTGCTGGGGCCCGGGGGCCCGGGGGTTCCCCATCACCCCTCAGGCCTTTAGAGGGAAAGGGAGACAGAGAAAGAAACAGGCCCCCAGGAGGGAAGAGCGGAGCTGTTTGCGCCGCTTCCATCTAGGGAAGACTTGGTGGGGTGGCCACGTGCCTCCTGGGCTGGGCTCCTGGAGGCCTCAGAGCCACGGCCCCCACCGGGGGCGAATCTGCGGCCCCAGGCGCCCCTGCGGGCGCTTCGGAGGAAAGTGCCAGCGGGCTTCGCAGGGCAGACGCACACGGGAGCCTGGCAGGAGGCCCGGACCGGCCGCCTTCCCGGGTCAGAGCCCCCGCGGCACAGTGTCTGGCTCCCAGGGCCTGTGCCTGGGGGCTGGGCGCACTCACTGGGGCGTGCACAGCTGCCACGCGTGGGCATGAGCCCCCGGCAGCACAGAGCTTTGGGGACAAATCGTTGCTCTTTCCTAACGCAGTGATGTCCACCCTGGGACTGGTGACCGTGTGCACCAATGTGTGTGAATAGGTTCTAGGAGAATAAATGGGGCCCTAAAAAGTGACCCGCCATCCCACAGGGAACTCACACGTTCCCACTCCCACGCATGCACACTGCCACGCCCCCAAGAGCCACCGGCACAGGCCGCAGGCGAGAGCAGGGCGCGGCTCACCGGAACCGAGGTGCGGTGCGCGGCCGCGGGCCGGCCTGACGGCCCCTCTGCGCAGGGACGCCTTCCTGGAGGGCTACGTGCAGCAGTTCCTGTACACCTTCCGCTACTTCTGCACGCCCCAGGACTTCCTGCACTTCCTCCTCGACCGCATCAGCAGCACCCTGGGCAGGTACGCCCGCCCGCCGGGCGTGCGCCGCCGCGTGGACCCCGGGCCCCTGGCCTGGCGGCCCTGACAGGGCGGAGGGCTGGGAAAGGTCACGGGGGGACGGCGGCGGCCAGGGGTCATTGCCACAGGGCAGGGAGCCAGCACACCCCCAGGAGCCACTGGGCAGGGGTGGGGGGAGGCACGGCGCGGGGGCGGGGACAGGGACGGGCGTTGGGGGCGGAGGGGGAGGGCCTGGCAGCCCACCCACCGCCTCAGGGCTGAGCTGGCCTCTGAGCCCCCCGCCCGTTCCCTGGTGCCCCCTTTCCCGAGGCCAGGAGCCCTGGCAGCCTCAGCCCATCCTTTTGGAGGGGGGCTCACGGGAGACACCCCACCCCCAACTCCATCCACCCGCAGAGCCTGCTGTCCCAGGCACTGGCTGTTGGGGTGGTGGGTGCCTCAGGACGGGCTGGGTCCTGCCCTGGGACACCAGGCCCCGGGCCCCACCGTGGGGCGGATGCTGCCACTCCCCAGACCCCGGGTAAAGGCTGAACGGCTCCTGAGGGCAGAGTGGCGCCCAGGCCCCACACCCACGCCCACGCCCACGCCCGGCCGCCTGTCCGCAGGGCCCAGCAGGACCCCACCTCGACCTTCACCAAGATCTACAGGCGCAGCCTCTGCCTGCTGCAGGCCTGGGTGGAAGACTGCCACGCCGTGGACTTCTCCGGCAACGCCGGGCTGCGGGCAGGGCTGGCGGACTTCGTCTCCTCCAAGGTGGCCCGGCGGTGCTGGGGGGGGCGGCCCCCGCCCGCCCGGGACACGGCCGTGACCCTGTGCTCCTGTCCAGATCCTGCCCCTGGACGGCTCCGCGGAACGCCTGCTGGGCCTCCTGGAGGCGGGCGCCGACCGGCGGGCCGAGGGCGGCCCCCGCGGCCCCGACACGGAGGACCCCAGGCCGGCCGAGGAGGACGCCGGGCCCCTCAACGCCCTCTGCAAGAGGCTCTCGGAAGACGGCATCGCCCGCAAGGTGGGGGCCTCTCCCGGGGGGCGGGGGGCTCCCAGGACAGCACTGCCCCGGCCCCAAGGACCTGGTGTGCGTGGGCACATGAGGCGCGCACATGCATGTGCTGGTGTGGGCATGTGAGCATGAGGACACCCACACACACACGGGCATGCACCCATGCACACGTGTACATATGTGTACACAGGCACCCATGCACACACTGCCAGTTCCAGGACCAGCTCGCGGGGCTGGCACTTCCTGTCCCCCTGGCCCCGGGCAAGGACAGCAGAGGGCCAGGCCAGGCCCTGAAACAGCCCCACCCTCCTGCCCCTCCACCCGAGGTCAGGCGGGAGGGCGCATCGGCAGGAAGCGCCCGGGGGTGAACGTGGGGACAGGGGACCTCCCCGCAGTCCGCGGGACTGTGCCCGCGGGGGCCCCTGACACGGCCGGCCGGGCGTCCTCGCGCCCACACGGCCGCAGGTGGGAGGGGCCGGCGCCCCGGCTCCAGCTGTGCCCGGCTGAGGGCCGCGCCCGCCCCCCTCGCAGAGCTTCCCCTGGAGGCTGTCCCGAGGCAACGGGCTGGCACTGCCCCACCACAAGCAGCGCCAGTACAGCATCGCGTCCGCCCTGCCCAAGCCCTGCTTCCTCGAGGACCGCTGCAGCCCCTACGCCAAGGCCAGCGAGAAGGGGCCCTACTTCCTGACCGAGTACAGCACCCACCAGCTCTTCGCCCAGCTGACGCTGCTGCAGCAGGTGCGGGGCTGGCGGCCTGGGGGTGCAGGGCCCCGTGGCTCACCCGGGGGTGCTGCTCTCAGGCCCCCACAGGCTTTGCTGGAGGGACACATGGACACGCAGCAAAGGGAGGCTGGCGTCCAGGTGCAGCGGCCGGGGTGGGGGCGGGGCACCGCCTGCGGGGAGGAGGGGCCTTGGCTTGCAGGGCCTGGCGCCCACCCCCTGCGTCCCCCACACCCCACCTCCCAGCACCAGAGGGTGCCCTTTGGACGCCGTGGGGACCGTCCGTCTTCCCCTCTCGGAGCTGCTGCATCTCCAGGCCCCTTGCTCCTCATCCCCCGTGTCACTCAACCGGTGACAGCAGTGGCAGCAACTCTGCGGGACCACGGGGGCGGGGGGTGACCATGTGCCTGGGGCCCCACCCAGGGCTGGCAGTACGCCTGCCTGAGCTGGGTGCCCCCCCACCCAGCCCCCGGGATGCTGCCTTGAGCACAGGTCCCTGGGGAGGGGGCCTGACCGCCCGGGTCCTTGTCTCCACAGGACTTGTTTCAAAGGTGCCATCCCGTCCACTTCTTAAACTCGCGGGCCCTGGGCGTCATGGACAGGAGTGCGGCCATCCCCAAGTGAGCGTCGGCCCGCGGGGGTCGCCCAGAGCCCCGGCGTGCGGGGCGTGCGGCCTCGTCTAAGTGTCTCCTGGGCCCTCCCGGCCCCGCACTCGCCCTGCGGTGACGCCACCCGTGTCTCTTCCAGAGCCAGCTCCTCCGAGTCTCTGTCGGCCAAAACCTGCAGCTTGTTCCTGCCCGACTACATCCAGGACAGGTACCTGCTGCAGCTCCTACGCAGCGCAGATGACGTCAGCACCTGGGTGGCTGCGGAGATCGTCACCAGCCACAGCGCCAAGGTGGGTGGGCGCCTCCGCGGCTCCGACCGCTCGGGCCCCGCTGCCTGCCCCTGGGGCGGGGGCCGCAGGCCTCAGGCCTCCGTGGACGGCACACGTGGGTTACCCAGCCCCACGTGCCTCACACCCGTGTGCACTGTCCTGCCCAGTCCACACGCAGCTCCTGTCCTGCCCACACGCTCAGAGGACGCCCCCTGGGCCGCGCCCCACGTCTTTGCGGGCAGCATGTCGGGTGCCCTCAGCCAGGCGGCGGAATAAAAGGAACTCAGGTCCGCGGTCCCATCGAGGTTGACCCCCCACATTCTGGGGGCTGGGCCCAGCCGCTCCTGGCCCCCGGGGCTCGGGCTGGACCGAAGTAGCTCAGCCTCAACACACCCCCACGTCAGGCAGGCACTGGGCAGGCCAAGAGGGAGAGTCACCTGGGTCTAGGCCCCAGGAACTGCCCCGGAGGCCACCACCTCCCGTCAGATGGCGAAGCCAAGACCACGACCACGTCCACTCCTGGGATTAACAGCATCTGCGTTTTTTTTTCCTTTTCCGATGCCCTGTGTCCCAAGCCCCGCAGGGCAGCCTCAAGTCCCGTTAATAAATGCCGTTTTCTACTTCTTTCCCCTTTGGCGTGAATTTTCGGGTTAGGAGTTTAGGAGTGGACAGACTGGCCCACCCTCACTTCCGCTAGGATGTGGGAGCAGGGAGCCGGGCTCGCCAGCCTGCCCTCATCCACGGCGTTACACGTACTGTGATGTCAGCCTTAGCTTCCCCGGGTCAGGGCCTTCGCTTGGGGGCCTCCGCAGGCACGTGACCCAGGACCGCCCCTCCCCGGCCTCCCGGGAGCTTTTCCACCCCGAGCCCCGAGGCAGCGGAGCAGCGGGTTCCCGTCCTGCGACGGCAGCTGCCGTCCAACAGGGCGATACAGGGGCCCCCGCAGCCGGCGTGACGGAGCCCACGCTCACGCTGGCCTGCGGGGGCAGGCACAGCCGGACGGCCCCCCACGTCCGTCCACAGAAGGTTCCGGTGAACAGCTCCCCCCGCGACGCAGGAGCCTGTGGCAGGATGAGCCCCGGCATCTGCGCTGGGGCACGTTTCTGATAAACCCAGACGTGGGCTCCGCCGCAGGGCCTGTCCCTTCCGAGGGACCTGCCGTGGCGTCAGAGCAATCCAGGGACCGATGCGTACCTGAAAACTACGGTCACTGCGCAGCGTTAGCTTTAAACGTGGAGCCTCAGGATGCGATGGGGTGACCGACGAGCCCCCCGGGAAGACGGTACCTCCGGTCCAGACGGCAGCCTGGCGGGGGGGCGGGGAGTGCGTTCCGGACAGAGCAGCCGAGTACCGTCCCTTGCCTTAAGGAAGAGCGTGTTGTCTTTTTTAGATGAGAAATGGTGAGTTTGAAAGCCAAACAGAACTCTTATGTCATGAGACAAATTTAAAAGTTTCGGGACATCGTAGCCAAGAGGAAGCAGCCAACCCAGCTCCTCCGCGCAGTCACCCACGGCTCCGCCTTCAAAATAAAATTGCGGCGCAGGCGGAATGTGGGTGAGCCCTGGGGACACAGCTCGACATAAAACCCCCGTCATGGAACGGAGAGGCCGCCTCCGTGGGTCCCAGCGTCTGAGCCCGCGGCCGCCTCTCGAGTCAGGCAGCTGGCAGGTCACGATGGCAAACAGCCTGCAGGGACCGCTCACGTGACCTTGGACCTCTGCGCGTCGGCGTCACGGCAGATGAGGGTCAAGCCCCATGGAAGGCAGTCTGCTCAGGACCCGCAGGCGCTGTGTCCGCGTGAAGAAGGGCCTCGGCCGGGGGGCAGTGTGCGGGGGCAGGGGCAGCTATGAACGAGGGCTCTGGTGACGTCCCAGAGCCTCCTGGGCGTCCGTGGGCCCGTCCCCTCCGCCCCTCGGGCCTGCTGTGAAGCAGGGTGTCCTCAGGAGGGGCCTCCCTTCGGGGCCGCTCAGGGGTCTTCCCCACAAGCCCGGTGACCTTGACGCCGGAGGCAACAAACTCAGGACTCCGCGGGGCCGTGGGGGACCAGCCCCTGGTCAGGCGCTGAGGCGCGTCCTGCACGGGACACGGAGCCACTGGGCGACGCCAGAAGCTCCCGTTTGTGGCCGCAGAGGCTCCGCCTCCCCTGGGCAGCCGCCCACCCAGCTCCTGGGCCGCCTGCAGCCCAGTGTCCCCGGCTCCTGGAGCACAAGTTTGTCCCGGCGTGGTAGTCCCCTCGGGGCCTGAGGCTGCCTTCATCCTCCACCTTCGCGCCCCCTAGGCACTTGCCCTCTGGTTCCCCGGGGATGCCGCCCCTTGCCCGGCCCTCCTCCGCCGTGCAGGCCTGTGCCCCCGCCGGCCACCTTGCATGGGGCCCGCGATGACCCCCCCGCGTCGCCGGGACCGAGGACGCTGAGCGCACTTTCCCCTGTAGTTGCAGGTGAACCTGCTGTCCAAGTTCCTGCTGATCGCGAAGCTGTGCTACGAGCAGAGGAACTTTGCGACGGCCATGCAGATCCTGGACGGCCTGGAGCACCCCGCCGTGCGGCAGTCCCCGGTGAGTCCGCGGGGCCCCGGGCCGGCGGCGCTGCCCACGGCCGTGGGGCCGGGCTCACTGGTGCTCTCGTCCTAGGCCTGGAGGATCTTACCCGCAAAGATTGCCGAGGTCATGGAGGAGCTGAAAGCTGTGGAGGTACTCCCGCCTCTGCATGCGCCTGGGCCCCCCACCCCTACCCCCGTAACGACGCGGCCTGCGCCGCTGGGGCAGAGCCGGCAGCGGCCCCCCCGAGCACAGCGCCTCCTCGGAGTCGTGCACGGAGCCGCCCGGCCTGGGCAGAGGCGGCCAGGAGCTCAGGGGCCCGGAAGCCACGTGCTGGGCCAGTGGCACAGGCGCCGGTGCCGAGGGCTGGGCTTGCCTGCAGCGAGCAGAGACGGCCTCGCGGGATCCCGAGGCAACAGCGTGCGGAGCGATGGGGCATCTCCCCCAAATGAGGCCCCAGAGCAGGCCCGGCCCGCCGGCCGCTGTGCGCGTCCTCGGCGGCCACCCGGCACAGGGCCCTGCCTCCGGCCGCCCGGTCTGGGTCTCGTCTGGGTAGCTGGGTCGCCCGGTCGCGCCCGGAGCCCGTGGGAAGGTGGGTGGGGGGAGGCGTGCAGCCTTCGGAGGGGGCCGAGGTTCCCCTCAGACATGGGGACGTGTGACCCCCGCCCCACAGTGCGTCGGGGGGTCGCGGGTCCGAAGGCGGTGGCACCGTCCTGCAGGAGCACGGGTGTGGGCCGGGCCGGGCTGACCCCGGACCCTCCCCGCCCCTGCCCGGCGGGGCCCCCAGGTGTTCCTGAAGAGCGACAGCCTGTGCCTGATGGAGGGGCGCCGCTTCCGGGCCCAGCCCACCCTGCCTGCGGCCCGGCTGCTGGCCATGCACATCCAGCAGCTGGAGACCGGGGGCTTCACCATGACCAACGGGGCGCACAGGTGGAACAAGCTCAGGTGAGGGCCCACAGGAGCGGCGCACGTGGCGGTGGCCTCCCCCCACCCCCGCTCCCCCTCCGAGGCCTGGGCCCCCGACCCTCACCCCAGCCCAGGGACTCCCCACCTCCCTCCCCTGTGACCTGCGGCCCCTCCCCCACACGCGCGGGGCCAGCCTGTCCCACACGCGGGGCACCTGTGGTCTCAAAGCGACGTCCCCAGGTCGCCGTGACCCCCTGCTGGGAGACCCCGGCCCCCCGGGGCTCCCATCTCCCTCTCCCCGCCCGCCCCCGGCCTCCCCCAGAGCTGCAGCCTGGCTGTTCGCCTGCCCCGCCCAGCCGGGCGCTCCCCTGGAAGGCGCAGAGCGGGGGCCGGTGTGGAAACCAGCACTGCGCCGCCCGCCGAGGCCGACGCGCTCCCTGCAGCCGGGCTCGGGGCCTCCCCGCGGCCCCTGCGGCCCACGTCCGGAGCCGCCTGGGGCTAGCCCGCCACCTGCACCGCACCGTCCCCTCCCCACCGACCACACAGGCAGGTGGGGCGGGCTGGTCAGACCCCGCCCAGCCCCGCACCCTCAGGTCCTGCAGGCGGCCTGGCTCTGTGGAGAGCCAGCCCCGGGCCGGGCCCCCCAGGCACCCGTGTTTAAGAGACACCACAGTGCACACTTCACGTGGGAGGTCGCCAAACCCGCGTCAGCGAAGTGGGGGAGAAACACTGAAAGCCACGCCGGAAAGCAGGGCGAGGGCCGAGGCCGGTCTGCGGGGCCGGTCCACGTGTGTGTGTCACCGGCCGTCTCCCCGTTCACGAGAAGGAAGCCGTTCGTTCTAGACGAGCTGCCGCTTCCTCCAAACTCAGGACGGCCATGTCTCTTAGAGCCCTCCACCCCCGGGCACAGGGACAGGCTTCGCTTCGCAGTCCCCAGTCTTCTTGGTGACACGCAGGGACTGCCGGTCGCTGTATTACGCACAGCCCTCCCGGGAAGGGCCCCGGTTCCCAGCGCTGGCCGCTTCCCAGCATAGACACTCACAGGGTGGTGGCCCGAGCCGTCGTCCCTGAGCCCCGCGTGGGGCGCACCCGCAGGCCGCTGGCACCGCCCCCTCCGCCACCCGCGTCCCCCGCACCCATCTGCTCTGCGTCCCCAGTGACGGACCGTGGGCTTTACTCACGCTGGGATCCCTAGCACCCGTCGGGGCGACGCAGGTTCTCAGGAGGCATTTGTGAGATGAGATGGGATGGATGGCCGGCCTAAGTGATGCATGAGGTTTGGCCTTGGGGACCCAGACAGCCCAGGGTGTGTCCCCTGGGAGCTTCGGCTCCTGCCGCCGGGGACGCCAGGGACGCCGGGGGTGTCCGAGCCGCGGGCTCACGTCCCGTGTCTCCCCCCGGCCCAGGAACATCGCCAAGGTGGCGAGCCAGGTGCACGCCTTCCAGGAGAACCCCTACACCTTCGCCCCTGACGCCAAGCTGCAGTCCTGCCTGAGGCAGAGGATGGCGAGGTTCAGCGGTGCCGACGTGGCCCTCTTGGCTGCTGATAGCAGGCCCGGCAGCCGCCAGGCTGCCAGCGAGAAGCATTCTCGGAAGATCCAGGACAAGTTACGGAGAATGAAAGCCACGCTCCAGTGATGCAGGGCCGCGGTCGGGGCGTGGGGTCGCACACCGCGAGGCAGCGCTGGCAGGAGGGGGCCCGCCAGCCGCCCGCTGCAGGCCCCACAGCACGGCAGGCGCCGCATCTGCCCCCTGGACCAGGGACCCCAACACGGGCCCGTCGGGGCCTCGGCGCCAGGACGGGGGAGCGCGGGGCTCAGATCGCGACCCGGAGAGGCTGGGCGCCAGCTCAGGCCCAGGCGTTTCTGCTAGAAAAGTTAAAACTTAAAATTCTAAACGAACACAGAAGGAGCGAACGCCCAGGATCAGAGAGAGGGGGGCCCCGCCTTCCCCAGTGGCCCGGCCCACCCCCCTCCACTCCCGCCCAACCAGACGCAGGTTTAACCGCGTTCCCGCGGGTCTCGCCGCCCAGTGCCCAGCAACGAAGGACCAAGACTGGCCTCTGACCCCAGCGCTACCACAGGTCCCAGGGGGTTCCCAGCCCTTCCTCTGGGGCCTCTGAGGCTTCCCAGTGGCCCAAGCCCCCAGCCCCACTTGCCCTGGCTCAGCCCACCCAGTGGGCACCAGAGCCCTACAGCCCTTCCCACCACCCACCCTGTCCGGCCCCCAGCTGCCGACAGGCGCCTCGCAGCTCCCCCCCAGCTGCTCCCCTGCCGCCCCGGGGCCCTTGTGCCTGCCTCCCCCCGCCCCCCGCCACTCAGAGCAGCTCCTGGCGGGACAGCTGCGTCCCGGCCAAGGCTCTGCTTCCCCGCAAACCACGCAGGACACAGTGGCTCCCAGGCAGAGGCGGCCTCGGGGGCCAGGGGCACCTGCCTGTTGGGTGCCCCCGGGCGGAGGCCGAGCCCACCCGCCTCCAGCCGCCGCACGCAGCACGCACACCCCCACCAGGCTCCACCGCTCGCCGCCGCCGTCCGCGCTTCGTCAGAACTGCCCAGGAAAGGAAGTCGGCCCCTCGCTGGTGCTGAGCACGGCTGGGTGGCTGGGCGGTGGCACCCCAGGGCCTCCGGACCCCGAGGAGGCCAGCCCGCCCCAGGGCCCGGGTTCTTGCGTTGCACGTCACCACGAGACCCGCACCTGGCCTTCGGAGCGTTACGTGAGTGACTGCGGAGCAGCCCGCGACCGCTGTCGCCAGGGAAGCTGTCACGGTGACAAAGCGCTGCCCCACCCACGTCGAGATGTGCTTTCCCACGTGGACTCAGTCCGGACGCTCAGTCCCGCTGGACCGGAACCCGGGGACTCGGTCCTGCTGGCCCTGCCCACCTGGCTTTATTTTCCCTTCAGGCTTTTATAGGAGGATCGTGTTCTGCCGATCGACGCTTACGTTTCCAGGTTTTGAATTTAACCAGGCAGTGCCACAAAGCCTGAGGCCATGCGAGCGTCCAGCACAAATACACGTCCATGCGCAACGAGTGCCAGGGGCACGGACGGGCTTTCGGCTTCAGCACGAGGTCTGCATGGCGCCCTCCTACGTGCCGCACAGGTTTCTAAATAAAGTCCTTTCTACCAAGACGGCTTCCGTGCCGCTCAGGCTCTCTCTCCTCTGTGGTCGCAGCGGGGGCTCCTTCAGCCAGACGGAGGCTGGTGCTTGTGCAGGCGCGAGGGCGGGGGGCCTGGGCCGCAGCCGCACCCTTGGGCGCGTGGGGAAGCCCACCAGGATGCGCAGGCCTGTGGACAGCGAACTCGTTCTGCAGGAAACACGTCCTCCAGGGGAGACTGCAAACCCGCAGAATCTCGTAGCGCAGTCCCCGAGGCCTCCCAGCGCCACCGCCGAGGCTGCTCTGCCGCTCCCGCCTGGCACGCCCCGTGGGCACGGGGCACCCAGGCTCAGGCCGCCTGCGGGGAGGGCGGCGGCGGGAGGCTCCCAGGGTGCGGCCTCGCCGGGCGTGGCTGGGCGGGGTTCGCGCGGAAGGGGTGGGAGGCCGAGGGCTTGCAGCGCTTAGGGCGTGAAGCGCTGGCGGAGTCTGAGAGGCGTGGACAAGTCTCTGAATGATCAGGAACCCTGCCCGCGGGCAAGTTCGGAAGAGTCAGGTTTGGCAGAAGACGACAGTAAGGTCACGCTGCTGTGGACAGCAGCTGCGCGTGGCGCGGTGGCTCCAGTGTCCCTGTCACAGGGGTGATGGTTGGGCCCCCGCCAGCCTAAAAGTTGCTGAGCCCTGGTACCTCTTCCCCCCTGAGACGCAGTAAGGTGCCATCGACCGTTCACCGCACCCATCCAACCCCATCGGCGAGAACCGAAAGCCAGCGACGACCCCTCAGGTCCCCCAACGAGCCACGCTCCCCAGCCCCCCGAGGTCCCCTCCTGCACTACAGGGGGCCCAGTGTGTGGCGCCGGTGCTCTGGGAAAAGTCTAACCGACTTCGGGGGGTCACTCAGTGCTGGGGGCCGCCCTGTGCCCTGCGGGGAGATTTGCAGCATCTCTGGTCACCTGCTACGTGCCAGCAGCACCCCCAAGTCATGACAACCAGCGGTGTCTCCGGACTCCGCCAAACATCTCCTGGGGGAGGATACCCCCAGAACCAGTGGCTTAGAAGGAGGGACAGACCCCGCTCCCAGACCTTGGTTTCTAGATCCCGGTCTCAAAAACAAACAAAAAACACACAACAGTTCGAGAAAGGGTTGAACAGCTGATTGCGGGCGTGGGGGGGGAGGTTCCACGTGGCCAGGCGCACCCTGCGGTGTCAGAAGCGAGGAAGCGCTAAAAGGGGAGCAGGGGGGGCGCGGGGGGGAGAACACATCCAAGGACAGAGGGCAGGAGGGCGAGCTGCCGAGACCTGCCCGCGTCCAGAGCTGGGCCGTCGGGGCACCTGAGCGCCCGCCCCTGTGGGCCTGCAGCCCGGGAACCGAGGAACGCGCGGGGTCCCACGCCGGCATCGCCGGAGGAGCACGTGAATCACAGGCAGGGACACGTCCGGGAGGGCCCCCGGCGCCCCCGGCCCCGGGCGCAGCCTGGCTACTCCCCACTGAGTGGCGACTTCATGATCGGCCCCCGCCCGCAGGCCAGGAACGGGGAAGCGGTGACCTGGCAGCAGCGGACAAAGGCACCGCCTTCAGGGAGACCTGCTGGGCCCTGTCCTCCCACAGCCATGCAGCCCCCATGACACGCAAGATGAGCTCGGGGCTCCTGTGGCCTCCTTCCCAGAAACCACGAAAAGACCCCAGTCCAGCACAAACGGCGGGACCGTCCACACAGTTCCTGCCCAGTGTTCTCCAGTCCTCAGGGGCGAGGGCGCAGGACGGAGGGGGCCACGGCCCGCGGAGACCGCGGAGGCACGGCAGCCGAAGGCAGGCTCTGGCTGGGACCCCGGGGCAGGAAATGGGACACGGGCGGCCGGGTGTGACGGTCTGGGGGGGGCTCAGGGGCTCTGCGCGGTCTGTGCCGCGGCCGCGCACCTACCATGCGCCCAATCTAAGAAGCTGCAAGAACTGTTACAGCTCGTGGGCAGCGATACGACGGAGGCGTTCGCTGGTCATTGAGTGACCCGAGCCGACGTTCCCGTACTGATTCTAACGAGGTGGTGGCAGATGACTTTGTATCTGCCGTGTCCAGTCACACAATCTGCCACGGAAGACGGTCCGACTGCTTCCTTTCCGACCTACATCCCGCTCACTCGTTTTTCCTGTCTTATCGCTCTGGCTAGGACTTCTGGAACAACCTTCAGCAAAAGTGGCCATCTCAGCCTGACTCCTAACCTCCAAGAGTAACAGTGGAAACTCCGCATCGACCAGAACTGCCAGAAGTTTCTTTCTGTGAAGTGCGTGAATTACGACCCTAGTTCTGACCGCTGGTTATAACCCTTGAACAGATCCAACCCCAAGCCGCCTGAAGACGGCGACGAAAGCCGCCTCCCGTGCGCATCCCCAAACCACACCAAACAACAGGGAGCAGAGAGCAAGCGTCCAGACGAATCTGCAAACGACATCCTGGACCCACCCAAGCAGCAGGGGGTAGCCGCGCGGTGCGGGGGGCGGGGGGCGCCTTCAGGCTGGAAGGTTCCAGAGCAGCTCTGCGCAGCGGTGAGAGGGCATGGCACATGCGTGAACACCGGTTGAACTTTGCGCCTAAAGCACGTAACCGTGTTAGTTTGCACCTCAATCTAACCCTTTGAAAGAGTCCAACCGCAGTAGAGCAGCAGGTTCCTCCCCGTCGGGCAGGGGCGGAGCTTCGCCCCCGGCACCTGCGGCCTAGGAGCCCGGAAGGCTTGCCGGGAAACCGAGGCGCCGGCACAGCCGGAGTTGAACTTGGCGCGCGGAGGGGGCGGGACGGGGCGGGGCTGGGGGAGGGCCGCGTAGACCCCGCTGCGGCTCCGACGGAGGGCGGAAGCGCGCAGACCCCGCAGAGCGCGTGTGGGCGGCCGTGCGGGCTGCCGCCCGGACCGTGCCGCGTGCCCCCCTTCCCCCTCCCCGACCCCAGGATGCTGCTCCGGCCCCGGCGGCCACCCCCGCCCGCGCCCCCCGCATCGCTGGCGCACGTCAGTCCAGACCTCGAGCCGCGGACCGCCGGGGACGTCCCAGGGACTCCGCCTGGACGACCCGCCTCGCCAGGCTCTTCAGGGGCCCCCGAGCCCCCCGGCTCACCAGTTTCTCCAGGCTCAGCGCAGCGCACGCCCTGGAGCGCCCACGAGACGGAGCTGCTGCTGGGCACGTTGCTGCAACCGGCCGTGTGGCGTGCGCTCCTGTTGGACCGCCGCCGGGCGCTGCCCACCTACCGGCGCGTGTCGGCCGAACTCGCCCGCCAGCAGGTGCGGCGCACGCCCGCTCAGTGCCGCCGCCGCTACAAGTTCCTCAAGGACAAGCTCCGAGACGCCCAGGACCAGCCGCCCGGACCCTTCGACGCGCAGATCCGCGAGCTCATGGGGCTGCTCGGCGACACGGGGCGCAGGCGCGGCCGGCGCCGCTCCCCCGGGCCCGGACGGCCCCCGCGCGGCCGCCGCCCAGCCCCCGGCGCGCCTGCCGAGCAGGGTAGGTGGGGTGGGGGTGGGGCGGGCACGCCGGTCGAGAGGAGCGGGAGGGCGGGGAGGGGACTGGCCGTGGGGAAACGGCGACGGCCCAGGTTCCCGACCCCACACCCGCCCCGCATTACAGACGTCCAGTCGGTGTCCGCCGCCCGTGACCCCGACGTGGATTCCGCCTGGACGCTCCGTTTCAACTCGTCCCCGTCCAAGTCCTCGGAGGCCCCCCGCGCCGCCAGTTCCCCGACGGCTCTCCCCACGTTAACGCCCGGGCCTGGCCGCCCGGAAGACCATGCGCCCCTGCACGCCCCCGACTCCCCGCCGCCCCTCGACCCCGCCTGGGAAGAGCCCGACTCACCGCCCGGCCGCCCCGAGAACCCCTCGCCCCCGCAGCCCGCGCCCCCGTCGCTGAACGCTGCCCTCCTGCAGACCCTGGGGCACCTGGGCGACATCGTGGCCGTGCTGGGCCCACTGCGCGACCAGCTTCTGACCCTGAACCAGCACGTGGAGCAGCTGCGCGGCTCCTTCGACCAGACCGTGTCCCTGGCCGTGGGCTTCATTCTGGGCAGCGCCGCCGCGGAGCGGGGCGTCCTGGGGGACCCGCGCCCTTGAGGCTGGGCCTTCGCCCGCCCCTTCCGTAGCCATGGCCGCCTCGGCTCGCACCCCATCCTGTTGCCCTCCCCCCACTCCTAGGTACGTTCAATAAAGAAGATTGCCTTTTTTCAATTTAATCGTCTTATTGTGTGCAGGTCTCGCCTAGGTAGGAGCGGCGCCCTGCGGGCAAGGCGAGGCTAAAACGGCTTCGGGATCTCAGGGTGGGGCGGGAGGACCCGCAGCGGCTGCGCTGGGGCTCACCGGGATCCCAGCCGGGGCCTTCCTGGGGCCTTCCTTACCTGGGCGATCAGTCTGCTGGGGGGAGGGGCTGTGGAATCCGAGGTCGGGGTCCTCGGCCTGCCCGCCCGGACTCTGGCGCAGACTAGCTGTGGGGGCGGGCACCGCGTCCGCCTTCCCATGGAGCCCCGCTGAGCAGAAAGGGGGAGACGACCTCACCCCAGGAATGGCCGCCAGGCTGGGCCGGAGCCTGTGGGGGATGGTGGGCGGGCAGCGGCCGCACCGCAGGCTCCCGGAGCCCGAGCTCGGCTTGGAAGCAGGACTGGGACACCGGCGAGGGAAGGAGACGGCCCAGGCGCGCCCAGGGGGCTGGGGCTGGGGTCTGAGGCTTTCGACATTGGCCGAGACCGGGGTCCCTGCAATTTTGAGAGGATTTTTGCAAAAATCATTGGGAGTGTTTTCCAAACAGCAATTGAGCCCCACCCTCGAGCTGTGCGTCTAGCTGGGAGGAGCGCGCTGGGTGGGGCCCCAGGCACCCCCTGCCCGGGTGGAGATAGGAAGTGCCCTGAGGCGCCGCCAGCATAACAATACGCGCTAGAGGGGAATGCGGGGTGGGGGCTTCCCCCCGACTAGGGGCTCATTCAAAGACCTCAGGGGTCGCCTGCGGCCGCAAAGCTCAGTGAGAGCTGGCGGCCCCTCCCCCAGACATTTTCGTGAGACTGGAGAGGCCTCACGTGGACGCTGGGCCGGCCGGGTTCACCGGTGAGCCCAGCTGCGCGGTGTGCGCGGGGCAGGTCCTGCGGGGGACCACACCCCGGGCACTGACTCCGAGGGTCGCCTCGTTTAAGACTCGCTGCCTCAGCTCCAGGGCGTCCCTGCGGGGCGCCGGGGCCCAAGACCTCCAAGCTGCTGGAAGGAGGCTTGTGCGGGGAGTCCGGCTTGCAAACAGTCTGCGCCCCCCACTCCTGGGGCTGAATCCCAGCAAACCAGGCGGCGTGGCCTGGTGTGTCCATCAGCCAAGTCACTGGGGACCCTGTGCCCTGGAGAAGGGCTGTTTAGGGACCAAGAAAAATCAGCTGCAGGCTCGGAGTTTGAGGACACCAGGAAAACCCGCGGGCCGTACTACCCCATGGACTGTGGCGCCCCTCGCAGGGGTGGCCCGCACACCCCGGCCCGGCCTGCAGGGCAGGGACACCGGCGGCCGGCCGCTGCCCCGGCCCACCCCAGCTGGCGGCTGGCTTCTCCACCATCTCGGCCCCGGCCCTGCCCGCGACCCCGCTGCCTGTGGCCCTCGGTCCTGCGAGGTAAGCCCTGTACCCGAGTGGCTGTGCGTCTTGTGCGGGCGCCCTGAGTTTGGCCCTCCGAGTGAGGCGCCCCCACGCCGCTGGGACCGGAGTCCCTGGCACATCCCTCCGGGTGCCCGACCCGCAGGCCTCCCGGGATCGCTGTTCAGAGGGTCCCCCCTGGTCCGCCTTCCTGGCCAGCAGGTGCACACGTTTCCCTTCTGTTGTGGTAAAATGCGCACACAGCTCCCGCTACCCGTCTCCAAGCCTGCGGTTCCCCACCGTCATCCCCAGAACTCCTGACCCCCGCCCCCGCCGCTGAAACCGCATCCCCGTCAGGCACTAGCCCCAGCCCCTGCGAGCACCCCACTTCCTGTCGACGAGCGGGACTCCTCCAGGACCTGCCTAAGTGGGGTCTCGCCGGACGGGCCTTGTGTGGCGGGCGTACTGCTGGGAGCTCCGCGCCCTGCGGCCCTGTGCTGCGGGTGTGGTGGAGCCCCCTTCCTGTTTAAGACCGAGCGCGAGTCCGCGTGCGGGCGGCCCCCGCTTTGCTCCTCCACGCAGGGCTCCTTCTGCCTCTTGGCAGCTGGGACGCATGGCGCTCTGCACACCAGTGGGCCAGTATCTGGCCCAGACCTTGCTTTTGATTCTTGTGGATAAAGACATGGAAGCGAAATCGCCGAATCACAAGAGCAGCTGCGTGTGCCACGACCTGAGGAACCCCACGCTGTCTCCCACGGCGGCTGCACCGCTTTACGTTCCCACCAGCAGTGCCCAGGGTTCCAGTCTCTCCACGTCCTCGCCAACCGTGTTTTCTGTCTCGTCGACGGTGGCCGACCCTTCAGTGACTCTTGGGGCAGGAGCAGTTACCGCAGCGCCACACGTGACAGCGCGGTGCCCGCTGTCCAGCTGCTCGTGGGCCCTTCTGCTGACGGCGTGGGTTCCGGGCGACCTCACCGCATCCTCCTCTTCTGCGCTGAGGCCTGAAGTGTGTGCATCACCCGTGTCCCTCCCCAGCTTGGGGACCAGCTGTGACCATGGGAGGGAGCAGCGTCCGGGACAACGCTGCACTGTTCCCCACGTTCTTTTACTCCGCCCCCCACCGGGCGTCCAGGGCGGAGCGAGGCCCACGCGAGGACTCACCCGGACCCTCCTCGCCTCATGCCCCCTTGTGCAGGGCTGTGGCCGCCGTGTGCCCTCTGGGTGGGCAGCCCGGGCACTGGGACCAGCTCTGGCCTGTGCCAACAGTGTCCCACGCCAGAGCCACAGCCCCTGCCTGGCTTCCCCCGGGGGCCCTCGGTGCCCGCCAGCCCCCGCCCCGCCCCGTCGGAGCAGCTCTCAGCAGACCCTCCCCTCTCCCACTTCCCCGGCGGCACCGATCTCTCCCCAGGGCTGTTGCCATCCGCACCGACGGTCATCGTTGCCACTAGAAGCTCCTCGAACCAGCCGCTTCCTGACGACCCCGGGGCCAGGTCCTCGTCGGTTTCTGGGATGCAGCACTGCCCCTGGGTTGTCTGAGGTGCCGGCTCGCGGCAGTTCCCTGTGCGCCAGGACTCTCATGTGGGAACGTTCTAGAACGGCGCTGTCCAGCGCGACAGCCACCAGCCACTGAGCCCTGCAGACGCAGCTGTGACCCTGAGACGTTGACTTTGTAAATCTAAATGAAGGCAAGTCCCCGCGTGTGCCTCGGGCCCCACCTTCAGGCCTTTCCATAAAACCATCCGGTGCTTCCGTGCTCCCTCTCCTCGGCCCAAGGTCGCTCTTCCGAACACTGCCTTTCAACGGACGTTTAATTCAGTTGCCAAATCCCCTTCCTTCCCCCGAAGTCCGAGGCCTGGAGTCTGAGACCTTCCGGTGGAAGTTCCCTCCACCGTGTCCCGGCCACCATGGTACAAAACACTAGGGCCTTCCTCCCGCTAGCTCTTCGCCGCTTTTTAAAATCCCACGCCCCTTTATTTTGTCTTTAAACGGCGCGCGCCTAATGACAGTCTTCCGCCTCCACAGAGGGGCAGGTGCCCCGGTGCCCGCTGCGGGCGCGAGGGCGCTCGCCTGACGGGCACGTTCACACACCAGCCTGCTTGGGTTCTGGACCGACTTCCCTGGGGACAGAGAACCCCGCGTGCGGTGAGGGTTCAACTTTGGCCTCCGGGGCCCTGCCTTCCCGCCCCGCCCCCCAGGGCAGGATGGAGGTGGCCAGAGGGAGGCAGTTCCCGTGGCAACTGCAGGGAAGCTCTGCCTGGGAGCGGGGCCCACCCAAAGGCAGGAAGACCCGAACAGCCAGAGGGAAGTGAGCCCGCCCTCCCAACCGCAGCACCTGCCCGATGGGGGTGGGGGGCCCACAATCTGGGGTTCGCCATCCCCACCCCCACCCCCCACCAGGTGCTGTCTCCCCAGCCGGGGTCCAGCCCCCACTCGGTTCTTTTCACGAACGCACTGGGGATTGGGAGCGGGGGCGGGGCCTCAGGAGTGTGAAGGGCAGGCGAGAGGGTGGGCAGCGCAGACATGGCGGACGGGGCGGGGCTACCCCGAAAGTGTTCGGCCGCAGAGGCGGGCGGGGCGCAGGGGGGAGGGCCGAAGGGCCGGGGCTGCCAGGCCTCGGAGGGGCCTACGGGGACAGAGAGCGTGCAGAGCGCGGCCGCTCGGCCCCGGCCCAGCACTCCTGCGGGGGCAGGTGCGGGGTTGGGGGGCGTCGCAACAACATAGCGGCCAAAGCCTGCCGTCCACGAGTCGCCGAGGGTGGGGCAGGGTCCGAGCAGCCCCCGAACGCTCCTCCAAGGCCCAGGCGGGGGCGACGCGGCTGTCAGGGGCTGGATCGGCCCGGAGCCGCCCGCGTGTGGAGGCGGGGGCGGGGCTTCCACGTGTGAGGCGGGTCACAGGGCGTCTGCGCAGGAGTCCGGGGAGCGGACGGTGTAGGCGGGGCGGGCGCCTCAGAGGGTCCTGACTGGGGAGGAAATGGCGCAGCCGGGAAGCGCAGGAAGGTGCGGGCATAGGGTCGGGAGGCCTCCGGGAAGTCGCTAACAGCAGCTTTGGAAATCGGGGCGCAAGGCCGCGGCGGCCGCCTCGTCCATCACAGCTTCGGGTTGCAGAGCCGCGTACCGGCCCCCGTGGCCCTTCGGCACAGACCTGTCCGTGCGTGAGGCGCAAACAGCGCTCCAGGCAGCCCTCGGCCGACCCCATCGACCCAGAGGGGCTCTGCCAGGCCTCACCCCGCGGGCTCGCAGGGGCCTGAAGAAGACCCGGGGCGGCGCCGGGCGGCTCCCGCGTCCCAGGCCCCTCGCAGCTTAGGAGGCGGGGCTGGGTGTGAATCCTGGGGCGAAGCCCGCGAGCCCTTTGATTCCACCCGCAGAGCGGCCGTCGGGGCCCGACCCAGACTGGCGCCGGCGCCCCAGGGGCCCGGGCCGCGGGCCTCACGGTCAGCACGAAGCTCCGCCGCTGCTCGGCGGCCGGACCAGCGCCCGCTCTCGAAGGAAGCCCGCGGCCAGAGGGTGGGTTTCCGCC